CAAATTGGTTTGTTAGGACAGGCTACAAAACATGTATGTTAGGACAGAGCTACAAAACCGGTATGTTAGGACAGAGCTACAAACCGGTATGTTAGGACAGGCTACAAAACTGGTATGTTAGGACAAAGCTACAAAACCGGTATGTTAGGACAGAGCTACAAACCGGTATGTTAGGACAGGCTACAAAACTGGTATGTTAGGACAAAGCTACAAAACCGGTATGTTAGGACAGAGCTACCACACTGGTATGTTAGGACATAGCTACAAAACTGGTATGTTAGGACAAAGCTACAAAACTGGTATGTTAGGATAGAGCTACCACATTGCTACAAAACTGGTGCTTAATAAGTTATTTCAAATAGTTTATAGCAATGATGCAGTGGCTTCCAAATACAGATATAAAAAACAAAAACCAAAAATATATAACCTTTTGATTAAAACTTAATCATCTCTTTTGGAAAACACGTGTCCCAAATACTACAAATTAATCCTAACATACATAACATTTCAGAATTCTTACTCTGAGATTTATTTCACGTGGAATACTTTAGGATTACAGTTTTCGTTGAATCTTGAGTTTCATTCCTTATATCAATAAACTTGAATTTGAAAATTGGCTTTCCCTAGATCTCTCTATCTAATAGTCATTCTTTCTTCTAAAATGAAATTGTGTGATGTTGAAATTTTTGTATAAATTTTCCGTATCATTTATATCAGTATGAATCTAATTTTTGTTTTACATTGTATCAAACATTTGTTTCCTATAGTCCTTGTTCTATTTCAGTCAGTACATTTAAAAATATATAAATGTGTTATCATTACCTTGTTATGAACTGTAAATAAATAAACAGTTTTTGTTTTGTATTAGTTTTAACTTACATTAGTTTGTGAATATGACACTGTATTTATCAGGTATCCACTCTACGCTATACAACAACTATCGTTTTCTTTGTCTTTGCGCCATTAAATGTACATTTGTTTGATGCTCGTTAGTATGTTTAGTGATTCCGGTGTCGCTTGCCTTGTTATCATTTAGGAACATGACATTCTTCTTGTATTGATCAAGATTTACACGGCGGACCTTATCGATAACCCAGAAGACTACTTGTCTCGTTCTCCTTTTATTTTTCAGGATTTTGCGTATAAATCTCTGTTTTGTTCATAATTTGACCTAGCTTCATCAAAGAGTTTAACATAGATTTTCTTTGATGTTTTTATATTATATTTACTATGCTTTAATATCCGTCTTTCAATTGTTGATAGCTATAAAAATTGTATATTAGACAAAGATATATAACACAATGCCATATACATATTGTACATTAACTATGAGCATATGTATACATACAGTTGGAATGAAACAAAGATTAAGACTGATTTGGAGGAAATCAGAAAAGAATTAACGAAAATTATATAATAGCTTACTTATACATTTTGAGAGCTCATGTAAAATACGACTCAAAAGTACAATATAACTTTGACTTTGGGAGAGGGTATGAGTTAGACGTCAAATTTGATGGCATATACAGAAAGAGTGGGAGAGGAAAAGAGAAAGCGAGAGAGAAGGGAAGAGAATGGGAGAGAGTAGGGGAGAGAGAGAGGGAGAGAGTTAAAGAAAGGGAGAAAGAGAGACAGAGAGAGAGGATGAGAGAGACAGAGAGAGGGGGAGAGAGGCAGAGAGTGGGAGAGAGAGAGGGAGAGAGTTAAAGACAGGGAAAAAGAGAGGCAGAGAGAGAGGGGATAGAGAGAGAGGCAGAGAGATGGGGGAGAGAGAGGGGAGAGAGAGAAAGAGATGGCGGGGTGGGGGAGGAGGTAAAAGAGAATTGTTTCTTCTGGTGTATTTCACGATGCATGTCATTATAGTTATTATATCATCATTGTTCTGTGTGCAGATTACGTGGTCACGCAGACCTGTAAAACAGGAGGAAGGACAGGCTATTATAGGCAGGAAACACTCAAGCGTCCTGCGAAATCCCGGGAGCATCACTATGAGCTAATCTTTTTCCAATCGATCTCCGCACATAGCACACTTTGAGTGACACATTGTCTTTTAAATATCATTTCCTGATTGTATTGTGAATTACTGACAATGGTGTCGACTATAAGAAAGAACGTTGATCAACAATGCCGACAAACATGTAAAATTGCATCTTTTGTCAAGAAGCGTTCAACCAACATCTGATGGCCTCGTGTAACATGTAGGATCATCATACTTGGATATACGTGTTAGCGTTGAGATGAGTCACATCATACTGACAACGGCTGACAATAGGCATATTGTATTACTCGTGCCAGACGAGGTTAATAGATGTTGGTCGAACACTTACAACAACAAAATTACATCAAGAGCGCCGGGTTAAGATTGATAATGAAAAGGATAAATGTTCAACTCCACTTTTAGATTGCAACTCACCCGCCATACACGACTAAAAGGAAAGGCGCCAATACGAAAAAAATAAAAAATTAAAAACATGATTTGGTACACTTGGCCCAAAGCCCTGGCCTGACAAAGGTTGTGAAAAGAAATGACCTTGACCCTTATTCAAGGTCACAAGTACCGAATTGGTTAAAACATTAAAACGAATTCTTCTGATTGGGCGAAACTTCCAGAAGCACGGTATTTGGCAGATAGATCCGGAGGATGAAGCCCGATATAGGTTAGAAAAGACATTACCTAGACCCTTTTTTCCAGGTATCGGGATGGAATTTGGCCTGAAAACGTCTTGTTCTGATAAACGGAAAGTCTAAGAAGAATGATGTTTCACTGATAGGTACCTAGGATGTTCGACAGTTTGCGAGAAGAGATTACCTTGATCTATATGCAATGTCACAGGGGCCGATTTGTCAAAACATTAATACAACTTCTTCCAATTAACCAAATGGCCAAGAAGCATGATATTTGGCTAAAATAGTAACAGAAAGTTCTAAATACATGGTATTGGGCAGTAGGTCTCTGGGATGAAGTCCAACGTAATTTGCAAAAGGAAATGGCCTTGAACCATAATCAAAGTCACAGGATACTTCTTCTGGAACACCGCAGGTCTGCGAAGAAGAATATATGAGGGAAAAGATACTTTCAATAATAATTGCCACTGTTAAGAGGTGAGTGTTAGAAGCTAAAGTTTGTTATAACCGATTTGATGAGTCCACTTTGAATGTCATTGTGGATTTGTCAATGTATTTGTGATTTTAAACATTGTATTCTTGATGAATATTGAATACCAGGTGAGCGATGCAAGCCCATTGGGCCTCTTATTTGTAAAGAAGATGGTGTCTTGTAAAGATTGCCTCTAAATTGAATACGATTTTGTCTCGTGTTATTTGCTTTAAGTTTATCACCCTAGCAACGTCTAGGGCTATATGAGTACGAATATCTAGGACGACACCAACATCCGGGGTCATATGAGGAAGGATGTCAACATCAAGGGCCATATGAGAAAGGATGTCGACATCCAGGGATATTTAAGTAAGGATGTCAACATCCAGGGCCATTCAAGGAATTATGTCAACATCCCAGGCCATACAAGGAAGGATGTCAACATCAAGGGTCATTCAAGGAATGATGTCAACATCCCAGGCCATACAAGGAAGGATGTCAACATAAAGGGCCATTCAAGGAATGATGTCAACATCCCAGGCCATACAAGGAAGGATGTCAACATTCAGTGCCATCTGAGGAAGGATGTCAACAGCCAGTGCCATTTAAGGAAGGATGTCAAAATCGAGGGTCATATCAGGAAGGATGTCAACATCTAGGACCATATAAGGAATGGTGTCAACATTCAGGACCATATAAGAAAGGATTTCAACATTCAGGGCCATATGAGGAAGGATGTCAACATTCAGGGCCATATGTGGAAGGATGTCAACAGCCAGGGCCATATAAGGAAGGATGTCAACATCTAGGGCCATATAAGGAAGGATATCAACAGCCAGGGCCATGTAAGGAAGGATGTCAACATCCAAGGCCATTTATATGAAAGAACGGAAACATCCAGGGTCATGTGAGAATGATTGTCAACACCTGAGGCCATATAAGGATAGGTATCAACGCCCAAGGCCATATAAGGACGGGTGTCAACATCCAGATCCATTTGAGGACGGGTGTCAACATCAACTTTACATTCTGGTGGTGATAAGATATTATAAATCTTATTATAAAGAGGATGTTACAAAAACCATTACATGTAACGATAACGGTCGTTTGTGTCGGTTTTACTGTCACTGAAATGTGCCTCATATTTCAGTTACATTGCGTCACTTCGATTGAAGGGTGAAACCGCTCAGGAGGGGAAAACGATCCCAGCACTACAAGTGCTTAAGTCAAAGATGACCTCAAGTCGAAGTAAATAGCAGACTGGAAAAGGTTAAATTTGTCGAGGTATATGATGTACAATATTTATGTTTGTTGTTGTTGTTGTTGACATTCTTAAACAAGTATAAGAAAGTATTGTTAGTGTTCACATTGCATGGTAAATTTTGAGTGAACTACACAAATAAGCTGTTTCGCTGTTTAACCTGATGTCGACTTAAATTGTCCCCAACCCCCATCCCCGCTAAGATTTAATCGTATGGGTAAATTACCGGATATGGATAGCACACGGAGAATATAGACGTATAAAATTAAGACCTAGTCTAAATCGTTGACAACTTATCAAATGTCCACCTACAGTACCGTGAGTTGTTTAGATGCGTTAGTATGCGATAACGATATTACAAAATCAATATATGGGACGTTCTAACTACAGATGAAAATCACTAAATATAATTCATTATAGATACATGTACATTGTTGTCATATATATGCGACATAAATTTTGTTGAACTTCAAAACTTAATAGTCAACGATAAAACAAGAACAGTTAATCGAGTCGTAATATATCCCGTAGTTCTTTTGTGCGGTGTAATCGGTTTGACCATATAATGGCAGTAAAACAGGCGCTTATCACATGGTACAGTAACGGAGACCGACACAAGGTTTAGTATTGGGGAACGACGTGTAAACACCAAGTCACGTTTCTTTTCTCTACCTGTAAGTATAACTTAATACTGACTGTTTTTTCTCACGAAGCTATCCAAGGGACCAGTTTTAAGGTTTCATATCAGTAGAGATCTATCATATTCATATGTATGTACAGAATCATATGTGACGTTTCCAGGCGTTTCTTGTCAAAGTGTTAGAAATGTTAAATTTTATCGTTACCCACCAGGCTAGATCAATATTCACAAATGTCTGTGTCGAGACAACGTTTGAGTCTTCTGCAAGTTGGGCACGTATAAATGAGAGCACAGGTACTTGGCACGAAATCCCAACCCACGGTCCAATACATGTATGTGGGCCTTTGGTTGGAATTTCGTGTCAAGCCCATGTGATTGACATAACCGATGGAAACTTCAGAGGTCAGTAGCATGACACCATACGTCAGCTCTCATACGATCCTTTTTTCCAAAAAGGATAATGCTTGGTTTTAAAATATTAAAGCCTTTCCTTTCAATGTGACCTTGTAAATTTGATCCTTATCTGAGCAACATTGATATCGCCATTGCAAGTGATAACAGTATTTATCGTTGGAGTTCATTTATGCGGCTAAACCGACTGTTTCTCTATCTCCAAGCTTCAATCAAGTCAAGGAAAAAGTTTTAAAAGACCGCAGAAAATCATAATTTCAAGCTAAAAGCACATGTTGTAGGTTGCAAGACACTAAAACCCAGTTTGCATATTGAATAAAAAAAGACGAAGAATACATTTTCTTACACATGTAAAACGTATAGGATTCGTACACGCACAGGTGAATTCGACAAGAAAACTATTGATTTCAAAGAGGTATGCTCTTCGTTACAAAGAAACATAACAATAGTTTTGTTTCTTTTTTTTACGTCGAATAAACAGCCAGTGTAATTTAAGGGCGTGCCAGGTTTGGGTGGTGCAGGAAAACCGGAGTTCCCACCACCTGTAGTCAGTATCTGGCACACGTAAAATTCCTCACGTAGCTCTCGAACCTGCGACCCAGAGATAGATTGATAGATCGATTGACTGATTGACCTTTTTTCTATCTTCGTGATTTCTCCCGTCTCCGGATGTTGTCTCACTCACGAACGTCATTGTTCTGGCCTTCTGGACAGGAACTGATAAAAACCGCGGCCCCTTTCCCTACACTTTTCAATATGTCGTGGCTATGTATAAAAACACACTTGTTAAATACCTTGTGTTTATAGTATATACGTAGTGTCTCTGCATTCTTCCGAAAATACGTGACGATTTTGTATTTTTACATCTGAGCGTTAAGTTCTGATATGATCACTACGATCACATACTGCATCTGAGCAGTTACGAGCAAAATATGATCACTGTCATTCTTTATTCCTGTGTTACTGTATTGTTCTAGTATCGCGAGATCCGAGAAACTACGAGATGCACGGCGTTGACTTCTGACGTCATAGGAACTCCGATATGGCTAATATCAGGCAATATTTTTTATCTAGATTGTTACACCATTAAAATATAAATGGTATATATCGACGGATTTAGAACATAAACAAGCATCTCCTTTTACAATGTATAACAATGATAACAACCCATGACGGTTTTCATATCATGATGTCACTTCTTGTCTATGTTTCAGACACAAAAGACGGGAATGTATCTTGGAAACGCAGCTATCGAAATTTGTCGAGTTTTCAACGTTTTCTTTATAACATAACACGAGATCTCTTTGCATAAAGAATATAATTTTGCATTAAGTTTAATCTTTGAAATCTTTTCTCATATTCAGGTCAATTGAAAGATGTCGACTTTGAGTTACTGGAACGAGTCAAACCCTTTAATATACGACAATACCACCATCGTCGATCGGGCGAGAAAGAGGACTGAAGTATACCCAGATGTTATCCCTTTTGTCGAAAGATCGTTGTCTGGATCCAGGCGATCAATAACGAATCAGGAATTCCTGAGCAAAGTTGAAAAGGTTGCTAAATACCTTGTATCTATAGGAGTTCAAAAAGGCGATAAGATCGCGATATTTGGTCAAAACTCGCTTGAATGGATTATAGGCGAATTCGCCATACTTTTTGCAGGAGCGGTTTCAGTTCATGTCAATATACTCAGAAAAGACGCAAGCGACGCTCTCGAAAGCATCGACATCTGTAAATGCAAATGTTTGCTGATAGATCCAACTGACAGCAGTAGTGCACTGCGGCTGATAACCGACTTCAAACAGAGAGATGAAAATAACAATATACTCCTTCTCAAGAAAAACGAGAACTGTCAGTTCCACCACATAGAACTGGAGTTCGATCTACCGGACAGGAAATTAGAATTACCACACGTTGTCCCAGAGGACGATGCTGTGATATTTACAACCTCAGGCAGTACAGGGAATCCGAAACTAGTTCTTCATACCCATTACGGAATAGTTTGTAATGTTCCGTCAGACGAAGAAAACCCTGGGTATAAACATTATGGTGGTCCGTCGAAGTTTGTCGTATTCAATGACCGTACATTCAGCTGGCTGGGAGGATCACCAATCACAAACTTCCTTTATGGAAACCAGTCAATATTTACTTCTTCATCGGCTCATCCAACAAAAGAACAGGCTTTAGAAATTTGGAACATGATGAAAGAAGAAAAATGTATGGGTGGATGTTTTCTGCCTTACTTAATGCAGAATATTATAGACGCACATGAGAAATTAGAGGATGACGGTTTTAGACTTTCGTTTCTGTTCTCTGGCGGTCAGATTATGGACGAAACTTTCGTCAAGGCCATTTATCGATATAGCTACCTCCTTTTTGCTTCATATGGCTTTACCGAATCCTTCTCTGGTGTGTCTATGTTTATGTTGAAAGAAGATCAGCCGTATTATACAGGGTACAGTGGGAAAGTTAGTAAAGGAGTCGAGTTAAGAATTGTAGATGAATCAGAAAACATCGTTCCTCTGGAAACACAAGGAGAAATCCAGATACGCCAAAAAGCACTGTTCAAAGAATATTTTGGAAACGAAAAACTTACAAAAGAAGTCTTGACGTCAGAAGGATGGTTCAAAAGCGGTGACATCGGCTATCTCCGAGAAGAAGGGACTCTCTTCATTACAGGAAGGAAAAAGGACATTATTTCGCGAGGAACTAGGAAAATTACACCAGGAAGTATTGAAGATAAAATCAAAAGCATGCCTGGAATAAAGCATGTGGTTGTTATCGGTGTACCTGATGATCGGCTGCTGGAAGAAGTCTGTGTATGCTTCATTTCTTTTGAGGGGATAGACCTGACCCCAGCAGCTGTTGAAGAGTTTTGTCAGAATATCTTTCTGAAAGAGGAAAGTGCAGACGGGATGGGAGAAATGCCAAAATATTTCGTACGCTTTGAAACATTTCCGTCACTTCAAAATGGAAAACTGGACAAAGTACAGTTGAAACTTCTGGCAACAGAAAATCTGCCACTTGGAGAGTAATCATTTATCTACAAGTTTTTCCAACTTCTATAAATCACTCTCCTGAGCCCTGATGAAAGTGTGCGGGGTGCAGGGGGTCATCCTGTGACAGGAAATCAGAGGACCCAAGATTTACATGGCAGGTTTCTGCGAAGAAGCAGAACACCCTGAACACCTGGTCTTATTCGCGTTGTGCTTTGTCCTGAGTCTTCAAGTAAATCTTTCTTTTTTTAATATTTTGCCTCAGTTTAATTGAATTTGAGTTTGGATTATGATTATGTTTACATGTTTGTATTTTCCAGCTTGTTTTGTATCCATGCAATATGAATGAGGTTGGGCTGTCTCATGATCATTTGTATACCTCTTCCTTTTTTTTGTTATTAACAAGGTCAAAATTCTTCATTTAAATTTTAAAATCTCAACATGAGTTTTATGATTACAGTCAAATAGAATGTATGTAGGGCTGAAATTAAGTGGGGAAATTTTTCTTTAAATTTCGTATTCTGGAAGTGACTAAATTCCTGTATTAAAAATATTTCTAATGAAATCAATTAAAATAAATATACCAACAAAATAAGTAATTTTACAATATCTGGATATGGTACTCTGAGCTTATATGATAATAATAGATAACTCAATGTGTTTACCAACTGACGTCCACGAAGCCTATCAGTTAACACATATATTCATAGGGTACTTAACAAATAAACAACAACAATTGAGTTTTGTGTTTTTTTTTATTCTCCGATATTTCCCTTACTCTGTGTAGAATCTTAATTATTATACATATGAATTAATTTTTCAAAACTATTATCAATAAAATATTATGTTACTTTGTTCTATATTAACAGAATAGTATTTGTTCAGTGGTATTTACAAAGAAGTATTTAAAAATTGGAATAAATATTGCACTTTATATATCAAACAATTGTTTGGCATCTCTCTGTGCCATGTATACTGTACATAGAATAGACATTGTCAAATAGACTAGAGTAAATTTTGAAACAATCTTCGACAGAAGTTTTCAGCATGAGGAAATTTGACGAATAGTTGTGGAGAGTAGATTTCATCATAAGAAAATTCTAAAATAATCATAGAAAGAAGTTTTCAACATAAGAAAATTCGACAAGTTGTGTAGAGTAGATTTCACCATAAGGAAATTTTACAATTTTCCTGGAAATAAGTTTTTTCAACATAAGGAAATTTTACAATATTCTTTAAAATAATTTTTTCAACATAAGGAAATTTTACAATTTTCCTGGAAAGAAGTTTTTTCAACATAAGGAAATTTTACAATATTCTTTAAAAGAATTTTTTCAACATAAGGAAATTTTACAATATTCATGGAAAGACGTTTTCAACATAAGGAAATCTTAGTATATTCATGGACATTTTTCTAACAAAAGTAAATTTTACAATATTCTTTAAAAGAATTTTTCCAACATAAGGAAATTTACGATATTCCTGGAAAGAATTTCTTTTCAACATAAGGAAATTTTATAATATTCCTTGAAAGAAGTTTTCAAGGAAATTCAATAATGAGTATAATACACAAAGAAAGTTATAAAATCAACATTAGGTTGCTAAAGACTTCTTGGTCTACATGGTAATGTAGTGAGGATCAGTTTTCAATAATTAATTCTGATTGTTGTTTTGAAATGAGTAAGTCAATGTTTAAAGTCCATGTCTGTAATTAAAAGACTATCCAAAACCTCAAACAAGGACCAGAGACAGGTATATTGTTTAACTACGAAGGACCACTGATAACTTCCAATGTTGTACTTACTAATCAGGGAGTCCTGACAAAGCAGGGACAAAAGACACACCTTGCTGAAGTATGAAAATACCACTACCTTTATCACTAGATGCAATAAGGTTTTGCAGAAATGACTCGAATTACAATTACAGAAAATCAAAAATTTTGTTGTTGTTGTACTAAATATTTATGGATATAAGGCATAATTATCATCATTGGCACATGAAATGGTGAAATGACCGACTATAAAACAATATCAAGCACACTGCATCCTGTCAACTGGGGAAAAACCTTAGGAAATGGCAAGTACAAATATCTTTATGATTTACTAAAGATCAAATTACTGTATATCACTTTGATTTTGCGATTACTTTATTTACCTCTTCAGACGTATTAGCGAATACATGATTTTTTCAGACCTTGATTTAGAAATGATTTTAAATTTGCAAATAAAGGGTTATTAGATATATAACAATACTCAAATCAGCATAGTTGTCACCAAGAGTTTTTTTCATATAAACAATCACAAGGGATATTTGAATATGTTATTGACTGTCATTGCATATATTCAGGCAAAATATGAGTAACTTACAATAGTAAAACACATTTCAATGGCTTCCACTTTTGAAAGTGGGGATAAATCTCATTTAAAATCATACAAAATGCAGAAAGCTAAAAATCTGTCACATTTCAAGCATACTTAACATACACATTATAAGATAGTCACATTATATACTGTAAAATGTACTGATTTTGGAGCAATCAAATTTTAATTTTATTAAATTAGTTATAGCGCGATATTGAATTCACATATTTGCAATAATTGCTGTATCAGCAACATCAAGAAGCTGCTATTAGCACAATCATATTTTAGCACTGTATCTTAAGCACAAAAAGTGCTATAATAAGATTACAGCCAAAATATGTACATTGACAGTATAAATATACAACATTTTATGAAAATACACACTATCATAAAAATCTTTCATACCTTAGTTTAGTATCTTTTATGTCCATGTTACAGACTATAGACTTTAAATATTCACAAAAGTTGTACTTGTCTTCAAACTTTTGGTAAGAATCTGATGGTCTTATACCATTATTTTACTTCCAATGACCACTGCTTGTACTTAATAGTGAAAATATTTCATTGGCTAATGTTTTTAAACAAGGGTTGTTAGAGACTGGACATGCTCCCAGAATGGGACAAAATTTAAGTATGAAAAATAACAAAGGGCAATAACTCCTATATTATGCAAAAGAGAGATGTGGTTCCTGTGTAATGCACTTCTCCTTGTTGAGATCTATCTACCTTTGAAATTTTATGTTGATACCTCTTCAGACAAAATTATGACAGACAGACAAATGGCCAAAAGGATGGACAGCCAATAAAGTGGCGATTGTATGTTCTTTCTTAGAGGAGCATAAAAATGATGAGCTGAAAAGATTAAGTACTGAAGAATGGAAACCATTGTCTGAAAATTAAGTACACGGCATTAAAATTTGCAGCAGTACAATTAACTATACCTTACTACTTTCTAATCCAACAAAAAACTTTGTTAATTATTTATATATAATTAAATTAAATGAAATATGTTTTGAAAAATGTTTGTTATTCAACTTATGAGAAATTTCATTATTGCATTCACTTTTCCAGCCACAACCATAAATGTTTATCACAGTAAATAAAACAGGGTAAGCCTTAAACTCCATTTTCATCAATACATTTATCATTAATGAATCACAAGAATTGTTAAAAATTTCCATATCCTTCGGTAAAAATTGTGATCCATATATTATCGTGAAATATGTTATCAATAGCAAGGAGGCTTGTTGCTCTGTGATAACACAATTACTCTGATACCAAATAATCAAAGTCCCCTAGGTCACAAAACATCTTCTACATCAGAAATTGCTACATAGGTATGGCCACTGAAACAAAAGAGTAATCAAAGTGATTTCCCTATTCACGAAATGTTCACTTAATTTTAGAAGTGTCAATTTTACAAATACAAACACTTTTTAACATTTCTTTTTTCATTAAAAATGCATCACTCTCCAACATTAATCAAACTAAATCTATATTCATTATGCAATAAGGTTGACTTTCACTTCAAAATTGTTGCAGAAATGTATGGATTTTTGCAAACATCGCTGAAACATGTTATCAATCAATTTGTATCTGTAGTGTAAGACCAATTTAAAAACTAACTCAAAAGGCAGCTATGAGTCTCTAAGTGATAAATGAAAATTTCTTATAGTATACTGAAAGATACCTATACAAAAGAGAAGATACTGTGTTTTATACACACACTGTACAGTTACAAGCAAGAAATGATAAGTTAAGCATACATTTTTTACCAAGCATTGTATAACATCGCAGTGACATTATGTACATCAGAAGCTATTTGATTTTGTGTTAGCAATATATTAAAATGATAATGATTTTTATATATGAGAAGAGAGATAGCTATAATAAAATAATATAGCAAATTGTGTGTTATTTCAAACACTCAATAATGGTTACCATTGTCAGTCTGATTCTCCAAAATATCAGTACATCAAATTGTTACATTTTATGATCAGTAATGAATACTGTTGTTTTAATTACATATTCAAAATGTTAGTTATCAATTATAAACAGATTTGTCAAACAACCAAAAAGTTTCGCTTCATATGAGTATACAATACTGAAATCCTGTAAAAAAACCTTTCCTCCACTGATTTTAAGTAAATTTTTGAGAAAATATTCACAATCAATGTCATGCTGTTCTACAGAGATTAAGAAACCATTACAAATTAATAGAGGCTCCATTTCCCCAAGCTTTATACAGTCACCAGAAATACTAAGATATTCTAATTTACACTGTATCTTAATATAATGTAGTCAGACGTAGTCAAAACCGCATGTTATTCTAGTCTAGCTTTAAACTGTGCCAAAATGTTGTATATACATACTTTGTAGTCAGATGTAATCAGAAACGCATATTATTCTAGACTAGCTTTAAACCGTGCCAAAATGTTACATATATATATACTTTGTAGTCAGATGTAATCAGAAATATTATTCTAGCATTTATTGTTACATATATATATACTTTGTAGTCAGATGTAATCAGAAATGCATATTATTTTAGTTTAGCTTTAAACTGTGCCGTAATGCTGTATACAAAATGTACTTTGTTACTAAAAATAGTACACAGTATGTTATATCTTAATATGGCTTACAGTTACTTTGTCATCTGTAAATTTCAGTATTGCCTTAAAACATTTTGAAATGTTGTAAAGCAATGTTACTAAAAACACACTTTACCAGTATATCACTCTGCCTTACACCAAATCATGTGTTTATATTGTAAACTTTGTTCTTGATTGTACTAAGCATGATAAACTTACAGGTTAACAAAAGTTCTTTAGAAATTTTTGTTTTGTTCTTCTCCATATCATCAGTTCAATCAATCCTTATCATACTTTACCGATATCATCTGTTTTTCTTAACAAGTAGTTAAAAACATTTTTATTCGTCTGATCACATCATCAAGAATGTTTTCAAATCTCTAGGAAATGCGTTTCAGGCCAATCATTCTTTTACACTGACTTTTCATTCTATTTATAAGTTAAAATATCACTGGCTGGCCGTACCATGTCATTTGTATGAATTATGTGTCAAAATATGCCATCAAACCTCAACGTTATTTTACAATTTTTCGTCTTTTTTTCTTTTTTACAAACTATATAAAAGAATTAAGTGAAAGACATGTAAACTTATTTTTCAGAGTCTGTATTTAATCTTACCATCAGTCTATGATAAAACTATAAAATTCTGTTATTAACCTTTATCAATGCTTAGTACAATCAAAGTATGATCTGTGTTAGTCACATGCTCTAAATCTAGTCATTGTTACCTGGATGTTTGCATTCTAATTTACAAATCAAACATTGGCTTCCTTTGTGGGAACCTAAAAATCAGAACCAAACACTATTCATTGTTTTACTGTAAAGAAGCATACTGGTATTTTCTGTATCAATAAGTCATGCAAACATTTTCTTTGTTTTTCTAAATCCTTTCTCTCTGAAAAAGAAACTAAAATGTCCTCATTTATTCATATTTCTCTACTTGTAAGTAGAGATAAACTGAATTATCAAATCAAGACCGAATTCTTTAAAAATAATCAAAAGATTCATATTTAAGCCAAATTTCTGAAGAATCGTCCATATTCACATAGTTTAACAACGTAAACACACCCAATTTTATATTTCCTGACATGAAATTTTACAGAAGACCTATGCCACCTGAATTTGGCCTTCTTTAGGGGTTCATTCTCAGTGTCTCACTAGACAAGGTATCAAGTGATGAAATATACCATTTTTTTAATGAGATCTTGTATTGTTTATTTTACCTATATCTATGATATATCTATAAATAAGCAAGTGGGGCAAGTTAGAAATTTTATGAATCTTATTTAAAATTCAAAAAGTGATAGATTGACAAAGATTTTCATGGTGTGTGTCTCAGATTTACGAGACGATGTAATACCTGGTCTTATTCTCCTTGAACTTTCTCAAGGCTGACCTCGTTCATCTTTCTTTAGTTCACATTTTGTCCTCATTTCATAGACTTTAAGTTAGAATATGAATTTTGTTCATGCGACAAGTGTATTGTTATTAAACCTATTTATACATTTATATACAGGAACCCGACTGTCTAACTGAGTGGGATATATCAAGTCATCCTCATGATACAAATAGGTTTCTAAGTAATGCCCAGCTTTAATGAATATGTTTGATTAATTTACCACAACCTTTTAACATCCAGTTAATATTGGATGGCTACTTTTGAAGCTATACACAGAGAAATCTGTCCAACATGAAATTATTCTGTCTAATCTGATCAACATATGATGTGAAGATGTCATCAGATCAGACAGTTAAATGTTACTCTGTAACTAATTAATGTTAATATTCTATGTGTTGTTTGTCACAGTGAATTTTATATGTTATTGTTTACAGATATATATATAGGTCTTACACACTTCCACCTCGTCTACTTTAACCTTGACCCCTTCTGAGTCAACATCTTACACTAGCAGTGATACTGTGTTTTACAGCTAAAAGGAGGCTATTTCTTGTAGTTAACAAGTTTGCTGTTATTCTCACCCCACCCATGCTCCCCCCCACCATAACTCCCCCCCCCCCCCAAAAAAAAAAAAAAACCATTGCATGCATTGTCTATGCCATGACAAATTTTCCATTTTGAATACTTCGCACAGAGTGTACTGTGCACATATTTACTGTCATGATAAATTAAATTGCATTATGGGGAGAGAAAAAGATGAGGACTAGATTTCAATATAAATTCTCTGTATATAGTAATATAGTATGTGTTATACATATTCATTATTCTATTACAAGTACAGGTATTAATACCACGTACAAATGTCTATGTAATTCACATTACTCTGGCTCAAAGCTAAAAAGGTAAAATATTTTAAGTATTTACATACTATTATAGTCAAATAAATAATTTGACACAAGGAGACATATCACATATTTAAATAAAAGCACTTCTCATCGATTATAACAAATAAAATTATATATGTTTGAAAAATAGAGAATATAGTAACTGTTTTGAGAACCAAACATGACTTACACAAAAAAAATTAATGTATTTAAGTTTCGCAATGATAGGAGATATTTACAAGACATCTTTTTCACTAGGAAATATTTTAAAGATATTTGTACATTTTAATAATTGTGGAGTATTCATTTCTTCTAATTAAAATGATAAAATAACAATGACTACATAAGAATGCTACTTTTATCAAACTGATAAACAAAAACTTGAGTAAATGAAAGAACAGCCACTAAATCCCCTTTTTATTATCAACACAGAGATATTTTCAATTTAGTAAAAATCTCGCTAATCTGAGGAAATTTCAAGGATATCTCTCTTTCTTCATAATTTAACCATTTTACTGTTTTGTCATATATTACGTCTATAAACATGAATTTGGTATGCAATAAATATTTCAGTATTTACAATTTTTGCATTTCATTTTGAACAATAGAACATATCACATGATCTCTTGAAAAAGGCATCCATTTAAAGCACTGCCCATACCTACAGGCATTAACAAGTAGCCAATGACTAAAGTTTTACAATTATCTTTTTTCTGAATTTTGAAAACTACAAAATGCAATTATATACATCAACAAATAAAAGATAAAGTTAAAATAGTAATTATTTTAGGTAGAACACATAATATTAAACAAAAATGTATCCTTTGAACTTATATTGTCTCTGACTGAACATGTCAGCCAATCACAACTTCACATTTGGTCATGTGACCTCTGGAGAACCAATCATATCTGCATAATTTATCATGTGATTTCTGAGATATGTTATCACCTGAGGTCAGACTTGTTCTTGACACCAATAATGATGAGCTTGCCATCTCGTAAACCAACCAAGATGTGACTTCCATTGGTCGTTATAGAAATACAGTGAATTGGAACATGGAGGGGGAGTGACGTCAATGTCTTCAAGCTGTATATGTCAAAAAGAAAAACGCTGCAATCAAAAGCGGCCATTTCGAAAAATTCTGCGTAAGAGATAATATGAGAAAATATTTTAGACTAAAAGAAAACTACTTTAACTTTTGTTTTAATTAGGTAATAGAAATTGGGTCAATATTTTTTTAGACTTACGCAAAGATTTCCAGGACATTGAGGTTGCCCTGTGTGTCTCCAGTAATGAGATGTTCACCAGAAACAATCATGTGACCTAAACCATACATCAATTTCTCCGCAAATAAGTGCTTCCCATTCACAGAATACAAGTGGATGGAAAACCTCTCCTGTAAATATATAAACAATTGTTTACTTTTCAATTATTTTGATTTCAATCAGATCTTGTGACAGTCATTGAGGGAAAGTGTCGTCTTTTATATGTCGACACAGGTAAAAGTTTGTGAAATATGTTTGCATCAATAAAGTTTCACTTCAAAATGTACTTATGCATATTTACCCAATTTGCTAATTCAATTCTCCTGTAGAAACAAAGAAGTGATTTCACTACAGGTGAGGTATCAATTTTAAATTTGTGCTTGGTCTGAGTAGACTGAGAAGTATTTGATAGGATTCCAAATCTTATTCCATTTTACATCAACTAAGCACCTCTGTGTTTTACCTTTTAACTTTAGTGTGTTGTGGGATCTTACTGTTGAACAGATAAACGGATGGACGGACAGATGTCAAGACAGACAATCTATTTTCAGTTTATCTCCAACTTTGAATATTGGCAGGAAACATTTTAGAGAATTTCTTACCTTTGGATCTATTGGGAATGTTTCATGACAATACAGGGCTATATGACCAGACTCATCTACAACAACCATAGGTATGTTGAGAGTGTAGCCGGTCAAGCAGGGCGGCCGTAGTGTCCTCATGTAGTGGCCATTCCTCACAGTGTGGACAATCACAGTTCCATCCTAGAATATCAGAAAATAATCAGTAAAGTTAATTTTTGGAATGAATTATTCATCAAGAATGTAAAATCACAGATTTATTGACAATCTTATAAACCATCAGGAAGGGCATGGCAGCAATAACAAATACTGGAATAGATTTAAATTCTATTTATTTGCCATCAATTATATAAAAGTTTATGGGACTCCAGTTAAGACATAGCAGGCTATTTTAGCGAGTGCTAAAAATTAATGTGCGATGTCAAAATTAGAGGGTGAAATTTTAGCAGGATTAATTCAAGCAACTGAAAATTCTGATTTTACATTGATTTTATAGCAGATATGTAATATGTTAAATAACATGTTATATGGTAACATCAATCATGATAAGAAAACATTCCTTTAATTCCAGGCCTACAGACTACTGTCTAACCATCAGCACAAACTTTCTTACTTTGGCTGCAGACACTGCCATGTCCAGTTCAGTCGAGATATGGACGGCAGTCACCTCAGCATCGTGACCATAAAGTGTCTGAAGTGGGTTAGGCTTGATCCCCATATTGACTCCTCCCTACATTAGAACAATGAAAAATAAATATACACAGAATTTGCTATAAATATTCACTCCTCTCTAAAGTAAGACAAAGAAAAGCAAATAATTACTGAAAATAGAAAAACTCCTGACAGAGTGGGAGAGAACAAACATCCCGATTGTCTTGGGATATAGATTAGAAATTGTAGATGTATACCCAGAAGAATTCATTAGAGCTCTATCAAGGGAGGTAAACCCAGAAAATAGATCATCAATTTATTCCCTGCTTCTATTTCAAATCGTAAAATAATGTAATCAAAATCTTGATGTTCCATCTTCTATGTCCTCTGTAAATATCTACCCAGTTTACAATACTTTTGTAAAGAAAGAATATGATCAAATGTATCTACTGCTTGTTTGATAGACAAAACTATTTTTACATCATAATTTTCAACTATAAAAAAATGTCTTGGACTGGAGAATATGCTTGAGACAGGTACATCTAATGATTGCCTTTAAGTCAATTGTGGTTGTAAGAACCTACCTGTTGTTGTATCTGCCAAATCATACATGTTGTGTCACGTGACCCAGTGATGAGATGACTTCCACAGTAATCCAGAGCCAGACACGTCACAATATCTGAAAAGTAAAAAGTGCAGAAAACATGAAATGTCCATAAAATTACTGCATACAGTTTACATGATAAGAATTCAGATCTAATAGACCTAAGACATGCTACTATTTTATCTGAGAAGTGTAGATAAATTATGATACCAAAAGAGAAACTGTGTAAACCAGGACTAATTGATAAACCTACCGACAATGATGGATTTTTTTACCTTCACCAAGGTTGTACACCTATAAAGACAAAATTTGACCTACCTACGTGTCTGACGATGTGGTTGACCTTTATTCCCTTTCCAATGATACAGATCTGTTAAGACAAATTTCAACTTACCTATGTGTCTGACGATGTGGTTGACCTTTTTTCCCCTTCCAAGGTTGTACACCTGTAAACTGTTGTCCCAATGACCACCACTAAAGAGAAGCTTTGCATCATGGGATACCACAAACAGTTTGGCATCAATTTTCACTCCTGGTGCAAATGGTCCCCCTACTCTGCGCTTTATCCTGCAGCATAAATGATTGAAACAATAGCTATCAGTCTTATAAAGGCAATCTTATCAGTGTTAAAAAAAACACCTTAAAATTGTCATATATCCAAAAGACTGTATTGTCTGGAACCAACTTTTATAAGTTCAGATAAATATTGTGAAGATCTTTTAATCTTCGGCTCAACAGTTGGTAATTAGTTCCTCCTACCTGCTGATAATACTTAAGAAGTGTTTTCTTTTTAAGTAAAGATACAGAAAGAGAGCTCTAACCCGAGTGGCAACTTCTCTAATAATTTGAGGAGACAGGGCATACAACTGTTTTATACGGTAACATATTTATTGGCTATCTTCAATAATTTGAGGAGACAGGGCATACAACTGTTTTATACGGTAACATATTTATTGGCTATCTTCAATAATTTGAGGAGACAGGGCATACAACTGTTTTATACGGTAACATATTCATTGGCGATCTTCAATAATTTGAGGAGACAGGGCATACAACTGTTTTATACGGTAACATATTCATTGGCGATCTTCAATAATTTGAGGAGACAGGGCATACAACTGTTTTATACAGTAACATATTTATTGGCGATCTTCAATAATTTGAGGAGATGGGCAGACATTTGTTTTATACAGTAACATATTTATTGGCGATCTTCAATAATTTGAGGAGATGGGCAGACATTTGTTTTATACAGTAACATATTTATTGGCGATCTTCAATAATTTGAGGAGATGGGCAGACATTTGTTTTATACAGTAACATATTTATTGGCCATTTTCAATAATCTCTGAGGTCTACAATACACTTAAGTGTGAGATGTATCACCTGTTCATTAGGTCTTGGGTCTCACAATAACTGAAGGTTAAAACACAGGCAATGCAGAGATATGAGGCCTTTTACTTTACCCAAGCTGGCTAAGACTAACTCATTCTCGTCATGATTTTCAAACATAATATAAACCAATATAATCAATGCATCATTCATCCAAAAACTTTAAATCAAAAATGTTTTCTTGTTGAACAAAAGAACTGAGTTTGTTTACACTCACTTTGAGTTTGCAATAGCGGGATCTTTGTCGAAGGTGAAGTAGTTAGAGATGGACTTATCATACGGAAGCCAACCATGCAATCCCACAATTCCCTCCTCCGACACGGTCACCTGGAAATATAACCAGAAAAAAACTTTTACCTGAAGCCTGCTAGGTAAATATTGGGAAAGCATACAGTTTAACTACTCAGATAGTAAGTACTTTTACCTAGAGCCCACTAGGTAAATGTAGGGAACACAGATAGTGTAAATACTCAGAGTAAAATTACAGGTAAAATGAAATGCCTTTGTTCCTAATCTTCCTATTCGTTAGTTTCACATTTCACATTTCGGCTTTATCCTTTTACTTCTACAAATGACTTTGAAAAGTATCTTCTAGTATAATACCTTAAAACACTAGATTTGGTTTTACCATCAATATGTAAACTCTGTTGTTAATATTTCTAACCAGAATAAGGTAAGAAAAGCTAAAGGACGACGCTCATACTCACCATTGTGTCTGGCATGCCATGTTGTATGATGGATCGAGCCTGATTACGAGGAACACTGATGTACACCAAGGGATCTGTTTCCATGGATACCTAACAAAATATTTGGTGATCTTACTGAAGTTCCGACCTTGGGCAATGATAAATATTTCTGAACTTATATTCATTTTTTAAAAGAGAGCAAAATATCAACAGCTAACTTTTTTTCTGGGGACAAACACTTATAAAATCTAATGAAACCTGATAGATAATTGAACACAAAATTCTATTTATTTTTCTGCTATCCGTAAATTCATTCATAACATTTTCCTTTATACTTTTGATCTCTATAAAATTGTTCAGTCACTTTGACAAAACAAGAAAAAAAAATCTTCCGAACAACTCCTCTGACAAAGCAAGACTGAATGCCAATAGATATGTAGCTTCTATTTTTCTGGTCGTATTTCACATGCTAATTACTCTACATAGAGACATATCAGGCATACTAACCTCGACAAAGAAGACCTTGAGTTGGTTGAGGAAGAAGAAAACGTTCAGAGCTTTGTCATTCTTGATTGACTTCGCCACCATTTCATCGAAGCTCATGCGTCGAGGGTGGGACTCCTGTCATTTACATCAACCAGTAAAATTCATCGGAATAAGAACAATTGTATTGAATTTGAAATTTTTGCTCAACTTAGTCTTACCAATATACAGAACAACAATGTGAGATAGTATAATATGATCAACATATGTCTTCAAAACAAAGATAAATTCCTAAATTGAAAAGAACAAGAGGCCCATGGGCCTTAATGGTCATCTGACATAAAATACAAGATTTCAAATTTTGAACTTAAGAAGAAGTCGAAAATGTGTTTTCAAGATGGTGGCCATGGTGGCCATGTTGGATTTCGTACCAACCTGAAATTAATAAACTTTGGTAAGGATCATGTCATGATCATTTCAGGTAAGTTTCAGTTCAATGAGACATGTAGAACTTGAAAAGAAGTTGAAAATTATGACGGACAAAAGGTGATCGCAATAGGTCATCTGACCCTTCGGTCAGATTACCTAAAAATATGATTTCAGCAATGGCTATCTATACAAGTACACCTTTTCTTTGTAATAATACATACTTCCCTCCCTACCTGTACTGAAACATTGCAACCCAAATGCTCATGCTTCTTGACCACAAATCTGACAGAAAACTTTTCCAGGGTTGACCATTTTATTTACCTTCAGAAGTTGACATGGTGTCTGACCGAAATTATTAATCATTCCTTCCAATGCCTTCCTCTCACGCGGATCTTTGATAGCGTCAAGGTCCACTGCACCTGATACATCAAGTCAACATCGTGATATAATTAAGTCATGCGTGTATGTCGGAAATAATGAATTTGTTTCTCAAGCAATAAAGTCTACAAGATTTATCAAAACTCAGAGTTTAAGTGGTTCTGTTGAATTTATCAAATAAATTCCAGTAAAGCTTGAATTTCTGGAAAGGAACTAAAACAGGACCATGATAAAGTTATAGATATTATACTGATATTTAGCCATCAGTATATCTACCAGACAACTTCATTATCATCCATTTCTGTTATACGCTGTCATAACTTCAAATTCTTTCTATATAAGAAATCTAAGATCTTTATTACATGTATTGCATCCAATCTCCTTACTAAGACTAGGTTGTGACAGTAGGGATTGTCACTCAATCTCCTTACTAAGACTAGGTTGTGACAGTAGGGATTGTCACTCAATCTCCTTACTAAGACTAGGCTATGACAGTAGGTATTATCACCCAATCTCCTTACTAAGACTAGGCTATGACATTAAGTATTGTCACTCAAACTCCTTACTAAGACTAGGCTATGACATTAAGTATTGTCACTCAATCTCCTTACTAAGACTAGGCTATGACAGTAGGTATTATCACCCAATCTCCTTACTAAGACTAGGCTATGACAGTAGGTATTATCACCCAATCTCCTTACTAAGACTAGGCTATGACAGTAGGGATTGTCACTCAATCTCCTTACTAAGACTAGGCTATGACAGTAGGTATTATCACCCAATCTCCTTACTAAGACTAGGCTATGACAGACTAGGCTATGACAGTAGGTATTATCACCCAATCTCCTTACTAAGACTAGGCTATGACAGTAGGTATTATCACCCAATCTCCTTACTAAGACTAGGCTATGACATTAAGTATTGTCACTCAATCTCCTTACTAAGACTAGGCTATGACAGTAGGTATTGTCACTCAATCTCCTTACTAAGACTAGGCTATGACAGTAGGTATTATCACCCAATCTCCTTACTAAGACTAGGCTATGACATTAAGTATTGTCACTCAATCTCCTTAAAAGACTAGGCTATGAAAGTAGGTATTGTCACTCAATCTCCTTACTAAGACTAGGCTATGACATTAAGTATTGTCACTCAATCTCCTTACTAAGACTAGGCTATGACAGTAGGTGTTATCACCCAATCTCCTTACTAAGACTAGGCTATGACATTAAGTATTGTCACTCCATCTCCTTACTAAGACTAGGCTATGACAGTAGGTATTATCACCCAATCTCCTTACTAAGACTAGGCTATGACATTAAGTATTGTCACTCAATCTCCTTACTAAGACTAGGCTATGACAGTAGGTATTATCACCCAATCTCCTTACTAAGACTAGGCTATGACAGTAGGGATTGTCACTCAATCTCCTTACTAAGACTAGGCTATGACAGTAGGTATTATCACCCAATCTCCTTACTAAGACTAGCCTATGACATTAAGTATTGTCACTCAATCTCCTTACAGAGACTATTTACTAAGGTAAGATAGGAACTATACACTACATTCTGGTAACAAATCCAGCCATGTCTGTTACCATTGAAAGAAACAGTAGTAGTTAAACAATAATCATTATCCTGTGATAAGCCCCCAGACTCTGTGACAGAATTTCTGTGTTGACCTCTGGGCTGAAATTTGGAGACGTATAATCAAGATCTAAATGTAGGTCAGAGTGACCTACTTTTGATAAACAACACTCTTCAGAGTGAACCCAAATCCCAAGCATGATGCTCACTAGTAAGTAGTGTAAAAATTAGACCAAAATAGATAAGTGAAGAACAGATGAATGGACACAATGCAAATATGTAGCCCCCCTACACCCTCTCCCCCTACCCCCGTGTTCAAAGTAGGGGACTTTAAAGTTAAATATGGAGAAGGAACTCCGTTGTAGACAAACCAATGCTTCTGTTACCTTCGTAGGTACAGTAATAAAAGACATTCAGCGCCTCAGCAGCTGCTGGTCCCTTCTGTTTGTATCCAAAGATCAGATCTATCCAGTGATGCAGGTTACTAGAAACATGTTCACACTCCTGGAAATCAAATATTTGTTGAAATAACTTTTATTTTAAATAAAATGATAAGGTGACACTTAATATATTCGTCAGAATCTAATGTTCTGCCATCCTCATTTTTCACTGTTTTAAAGAGTCTGATGACATACAATGACCCAGATTGTAGTTATATTCTACTGACTATGGAGTGTCTGATGGCATACAATGACCCAGAATTTAGTTATATTCTACTGACTATGGAGTGTCTGATGGCATACAATGACCCAGAATTTAGTTATATTCTACTGACTATGGAGTGTCTGATGGCATACAATGACCCAGAATTTAGTTATATTCTACAGACTATGGAGTGTCTGATGGCATACAATAGATTTTATTATATTCTACTATGACTATGGAGTTTAGTTATATTCTACTGACTATGGAGTGTCTGATGGCATACAATGACCCAGAATTTAGTTATATTCTACTGACTATGGAGTGTCTGATGACATACAATGACCCAGATTTTAGTTATATTCTACAGACTATGGAGTGTCTGATGACATACAATGACCCAGAATTTAGTTATATTCTACTGACTATGGAGTGTCTGATGGCATACAATGACCCAGAATTTAGTTATATTCTACAGACTATGGAGTGTCTGATGGCATACAATGACCCAGATTTTAGTTATATTCTACTGACTATGGAGTGTCTGATGGCATACAATGACCCAGAATTTAGTTATATTCTACAGACTATGGAGTGTCTGATGGCATACAATGACCCAGATTTTAGTTATATTCTACTGACCAGGGCCTGCTTATGTTTCCATATGAAATCCTCTGGAGATTTGGCCCAGGTAGGTAAAATCACATCCCCTACAGGCTCCCTCGACAGCTGTAGTAATCCCAGGTCAAACCCTATGTCAATAGAAAATTTCATTCCACATACAATATTTTCATTCATCTCAATAATTGTTTTTTTGTTGATAATATTATAGACAAAAACTGAATGTGTATTCTTCAAAGAAGCACAGAAAGCATCTATAAAAAAAATGTCCTTCTAATTATCTTCAGTTTGATTCTAGTTGTCTTTAATTTGACTTCATAAACCAAAAACATTGATAACAACACTTACAATTATTTTTTGAAAACTGAACATAATGTTATATAGATGAACTTAATATCAACGAAGCCTCACTTGCTTTCTTATTTTTTTTTTTTTTGTCGTCTGATCACAAATACTAGATATACTTGACTACAACAACCTCCAGAACAAATTTAAACTAAGAGAATGCCACTAAATTACATAAATACTGATTTCACTATATCAAGTGTTAGATATGTAAAATAATAGCACTCTTAATCTAGCATAATTCATATCAAGTTATCATGGACGAACTTTCACATGATCTGCCCCCACTCATCCTCAAAAAAAAAACAAAACAAAACAAAACACAAAAAACAAAAAAAAAACAAAAAAACAACTGTTCAATGCACAAACCCATGCCAATGGTCACAAAAAAAAAACCAAATGCTTTTAAAAAAAATTCAAAATCACATATTTAGAATTCAGAGTCCTGTTCATTTATAAGACCTGTTTAACACATACCATTGTTATTGACTAGAAAATCTGGGAGGTAGAAAAACTCAGGTATCAACTCTTTGACATCATTAGGATTGTCCATCAGACTTGACCATGTAGCAATCACGGAGTGAAACTGTCGGTCAGCCACGTCAAACCTGTATTTAAGTCCAAAGAATAGCATTGATACAATTTTGTACAAAATTTGAAACCAACCTGATGATTATAAGATGGTGTTAAAAACAAAAATTCAAAATTTTTTAAAGAATGAATTTTGAAAATTGAAGTTGTACGACCTAAACTCTAACTTAAAGTCATCACAGACAGCTCTAGTACCTACACCTATATTAAGAAATAGAGGTGAATGCATCATTTGAACTATATTAATGACAGAAAATTATGCCTTACTCCTGTTTTTGCTTCTTTGTCAAGGCATGATAAAAATGATAAAACTGTGTTTTTAGATCACTTCATTACCAGTTAATAGTGATTTTTTTCAGATTATTCCACTAGTTATGCAAGGGGAGGTAATCATGCTACTTTACCTGCCACTTTGAAGTTGTATGTGTAATCCTGTAAAGGGTTCCATGCGGATCATGTAATGCATCACACCGGCTGCGTTTGAGTAATGTGTACCGTAATGGAACTTCTCAATCACTCCCGAAGGGTCTTCAAATGTTTCATATCTAAAAAAAAAATACCACATTTTACCGAATCAAGAGTTTTGTAGAATTATGATTGTGGAAATATTTAATACAACATCTAGAATAAATTTAATAATTTGCCTAGCAGTAACAGACAAGAAATCATGGTTAGAAGTGATTTTATTTGGAGTTTTGCGGTCAAGTTGACGTATAACTGAACCCTTATGTTACTTTGTCGCGATAGCTAATATTAAATTTCACATTGATTTCTTTCAAGTTTAATTAAATTTCTTACCTCACTAGTAATTTGCATCATTAACAAGCTTTTCTGGTAAAATTTGTCGTTGTTTCCTATTGATTTTATCTCTCCTAAAAGCTAAGATTCCTATTTTATCCTGGCTTGCTTCACATTTGTTGTAAAATAAATAAAGTTTATTATCATCATCATCCTAGCTTTGTATTATTGGTTAAAAAAAAAATGAGAAACCAGAGACATCAAAAATAGTTAGTCTTTAGAAACTTGACCTTGGTGTCAAGGTCTAAGTCTGACCAGCTCACCACAAATGTTATGCATCTTACCCAACTTGGTCTTAGGTGTAACAGCATTGTGACTTACTTTTCTCTGACACTCTCAATGTTCTTTGGATTCACAACTCCAATTGGTTTTGACAGATCTCGGAAGACATCTGGATTGTCCAAGTCTAGTGTTTCTGAGGTATAGTCGCTCAGTATCCATGGAAACTGATATGAAAAAAAATATTTTAAATTTTTGATTACAATGAAAGCTGATTTTACTGATATCTGACTTTAATGACATCCTGTAATATACAGTAAAACCTGACTTTACTGACACATGACGTTAATGACATCCTGTAATATACAGTAAAACCTGACTTTACTGACACATGACGTTAATGACATCCCGTAATATACAGTAAAACATGACTTTACTGACACATGACTTTAATGACATCCTGTAATATACAGTAAAACCTGTCTTTACCAACACCTGACTTTACTGACACCTGACTTCACTGACATCCTATAATATACTGCTAAACCTGTTTTAACTGACACTTGACTTTAAGAATACCTGGTATTATCAGACATGATTCTATTGATACAAGGTATAACATTACCACAGGGTACTGGCTGAGGTCGTTGTATGTCCTCCCTGCTATAGTGTTGAGTTGTATCAGGTAGTCAAAGTTAGAAATCTCCCTTTGTACCCATTTCTGTGAATGAAAAAGGGGCAGTGAAATTAACTTTCAGAATATTACTTTAAATGTTTAGGTTTTACAAGCCAAATACAATTGCATTCCAAAGAAATCTTGTCTTTTTTCAAAATTGAACACACAACAGAAACACAATATGTACAACACAGTCAACTAAAAACTATAAGATGGAAAGCACTTGTTCCATGTATATGTGCTTCTCATAAAAACCTTATGAAAGGACGTTCATCATAATTGTGAAATAAAATTTTGCAATATGCCTCATTAACACTCATGAAAATAGATGTTACATTGTCGGATATTGTAGAGGACATACTTGTGTAAGACCTGATGACTTGAGCAGTTCTGCTGGTGATCGTGATCCAAAGTAGATCAGATTTGGCGGACGGAGACCTAGAATGCGACTATAAACTTTGTTTCGGACCTGTAAAGTATAGAAAAAAGAGTTCCTATATGAATACACAGTTGAGAATCATTTTGAAGCATACAATCTGCACACTACTTAAAAGAAATTTTTTGATAAAAAATTAATGAAAATTTACAACTTCATAAAATCAATCAATAATAGAGCCTCTCCCCTCATAACCCCTCCCCCCCACAACCAATGAAAATCTAATTAAACAAATCAGCACCTTAAACAATGGATTACTGAGAAACAGACAGAAATGGTTCATGCTTTTTGCCTCCAGGTCTTTCCAGAGAGCAAAACAAAAATTATTGTGTATAATAGAGAAGTATATATCTCTGATCCTTAACAGTTAATAATAAACTCATTCTCTTTATAACTCCATTGATAAACAGATAAGAATGAAAAGATTAATATGTAAAATAGGGCATATTTATCACATATTACTAAATATGGTCCTAATAGTTTTACAAGTTGTATAGATAAACTGACAATACTGACCTTTGGCTGAAAGTTAACAAAATAGTTAGTCTGATCCACCAGGAACATTTCTAAGGCACTACGGCGCAGGTTGTAGCGACGAAAATGGATTTCTCTCAGTTTGGACACAGCCCACTTGAAGTCTTCACCTCCTGAAATTTGAATATAGCATTGATTTTTATATATCTCTCCAATTACTGGTATCAGTTGTAATAATATTTATTGTCTCAGGTATGCTTTATCTGATAATTGTTGAATTAGCATAAGTTAGGGGAAGATGCGAGATATTTGTCTAGTTTTTCATAGTTTTTCAATAAGCAACCATAGAGTGAATATTGGAAGTTAAAAAGAAAGTACCTTATAAGTATATTGTTTACTCAGGTATTAGAAGTTGAAAAGAACAAGAAATGAATAAAATCATTTAAGATAGCTGTACATTTGATTAGAGTTCCAATGCTAATGTCTCTCTTACCTTCCTCTTTGTTTGAGCTGCAGTCAAAAAAATACACATGTGTTGTTGTAATCTCCAAACGACCTTTGATGACATCCACTAAGGTCACGAGTTCACACTCTTCAGAATGGACCAGTTTTTCTTTGTCGTTGTGTTCACTTGGTCTAAAACACAGAATAAGATGATGTTCATAAAACATTTTGGTTTGGAAAAATATCAAAATAAAACTGAATATTATAAAATATTATGCTTAAATGATTGTTAGATGTATTTCATATATATCAGTAAATATAGAAGTTGTCATGTAAAATTTCCAAGACATTCCTGGTCATCAAAAGTTTTAGTCCAAAGACGTTAAAATATCTCATGTTGCTCCTACAACAGTTTACAAGTAAGAAAACAAAATGAGAATTCTCTCCGATATCAATTTAAATATTTTTACCCTTGAGAACTAATAACATTCCACTCCTCATCTGTGATTGTATCATCTGCAATGTTTTCCTTGGATACCAAAGCTTCCTTAGCAACACTGAGTCGCTTAAGTTGCTCAGAGTCATCTGTTTCATTGATGCCTGTAAAGAAAACAAAGAAATAATTCCTTTGCAATTTCAAATCCTTTTTCCATTTTTGATATTTATTTTTATCTTAAATGAATCAATAATGTAAAATGTCAAAATTTTACTGAAATTCTTTTTCAACCCATTGCTGAAGGAAGGTGAACTAAAAACAGGAGTGAAAACAGAAAATTTTTTATTTCTTTTACGAGCATTATAAGTAAATGGAACTGGCCCATATACATGGTCTATATGAAGAGAGAAGGACACATTTTCCATCCAAATGAAAAAGCAGTAGTCATGCCAGCCAAGGCAATATCATATTTTGGGTTTTTGATAATACATTATCCTCAATTCATACCAAACATGCACAATTGCCAGTCTAAGGAATAACCTTGAGAAACTACAGAAATCTAAAGACTTAACAAGAGGCCCATGGGCCTTAACGGTCATCTGACAAAAAGCAAGCCAAACCTAGAAAGTGGGTTGAGGTCATTCATTTGAACAAACTTGGTAGCCTATCCTCCAAGCATGTTACAGGCCCAATATCAGCACTCATGGACTTTTGCTTGTTGATAAGAAGTCGTTTATTTTAATTTTGACCCCTGTGACAAAGTGGGTTGAGGTCATTCATTTGAATAAATTGGTAGCCTTTCCTCCCAGCATGCTACAGACCCAATATCGGCACTCATAGACTTTTGCTTATTGAGATGAAGTCCTTTGTATATTTTAAAATATTTGACCCCTGTGACCTTGAAAGTGGGCCAAGGTCATTCATTTGAACAAACTTTGTATCCATGCCAGCATGCTAGAGAGTATTTGAGAAGAAGTTATTTAAAGATTTTGACACATTTGACCCCTGTGACCTTGAAAGTTGTTCAAGGTCATTCATTTAAACAAACTTGATAGCCCTTCATCCCAGCATGCCACAGGCACAATATCAGCAATCTGAGCCTTTTGGTTATTGAGAAGAAGTTGTTTAAAGATTTTAACATATTTGACCCCTGTGACCTTTAAAGTGGGTCAAGGTCATTCATTTGAACAAACTTGGTAGTCCTTCATCCCAGCATGTCACAGGCCCAATATCTACACTCTGAGCCTTTTGGTTAATGAGAAGAAGATGTTTAAAGATTTTAACATATTTGACCCCTGTGATTTAAAGTGGGTCAAGGTCATTCATTTGAACAAACTTGGAGAGCTCCATGCACAGTTTCCTCTGTGCCAAGTATTAGCCCCCTAGACCTTCTATATTTGAGAAGAAGTTTTTGATGAAAAGTTTACTCAATTCATACCAAACATCCACAATTGCCAGTCTAAGGAATAACCTTGAGAAACTACAGAAATCTAAAGACTTAAAAATTTGACACAACTTCTAAAGATTATAGAGAGTCAGTCATATTCCGACCGACTTCTATAACAAGACTATAATAAGGACAGTTACAAGCATAATTTTACCCAGATTTCCGACTGACTTCTGTAACAGGACCATATTAAGGACAGTTACAAGCATAATTTTACCCAGATTTCCGACTGACTTCTGTAACAAGACTATAATAAGGACAGTTACAAGCATAATCTTACCCAGATTGTCACGCAGCATCGCCGCCTCAGTATGAAGATCAAAATTGTAGTTTTGGACTAGTTTCACCTTCATGCGTGAGAAATTCTCCTGGTTAGACAGTTTCCAATGATGTGCAGCAATATTTCTAATAAACAGGAACATCAGGGATTTTCATATCTTTAAGATCTGTACTCAATGATATCAATAAAGAACAGTGTTGCATTTTGATTCCAGAATATTTTTCTCTCTTAGTGTCTGCACTTTACATCAAAAAATTGTTTTCACCTAAGAGTAGGGCTCTCACCAAACTGATATATTATTCTCATAAAATCAATTACTTTTAACAGTCTAAATCTTAATCCAAAAATAGAAATAATTTACATAATAGTATATAATCAACACCTGTATAGGTATTTTTGAGACTCTTGATTTGGAACTCTGACAAAAGTAATTATTATGTAAAACTGAGAAACTTCTCCTTTCAAAACAAACCTGTCTGCCCAAGCTCCACGCTCGCCAGTGAAAAAACGCCGTGTAGCTCTCCAGTGGCGGAGGGTAGAAAGTTGCTGGTTACGCAGTTGTGTAGTTATATTTTGAAACCTTCGTATTTCATGTGAGGCTTTGCTTTTAAATGGCTCCATTATCTGAGTCTGCAAGAAATAAATTTGTTTTATATATGGTGAGCTTTACTTTGGAAACTTGAAACATCATGTCACCTGTAGAAATCGCTACAGATTTGAAGTTGTTAAGATGGATAACGGTGAATTCTGAATAATAAGATTAACATTTATGCTGTTTTATATAAATCTTCTCCAATCCCACTCCATTATCACTGATCACCACTCATCCATTAACATATAGCTAAATTTAGTGAGTTATTTAATTTTGAGTTATTACATAATAATCAGGTTTAGAAATATGATATGCTTTACCTGGAACTTGAGTTTGCTGTCCCCTCTTTCACGATTTCGTTTGTGCATGTTGACCATCATGGCTTCCTCACAATCTGTCCAAAAGTCCTTAGTTGCCATCTCAATGTCACCAAACGTGTTCTCCACAAAGTGGTTCATTTGAGGATTCACCTAAAGTGTAGCACACATTCTCAACACAAGTTCTTAATTTGAAATTATCACCTGAAGATTCCACTTCAATAAAATCATAAATTCACAACTAATGTAAGAAATTCATTCCAATAATTCTATTTCAGGAAGCAAAATTACATGTTGTACCAAAATCAAGACATCTACGCAAATCCAATTGAGTTTTGACGACTGACTATTTAAAAAGATATATATACATATATATATATAGATATATATATAGACTTTTCCAATTATATAGTAAAGCTTTAAACAAATAACAGAATGATAAAAACTATCACTCAGACTTATCTAACAGAACGTCAGAAAGTTTTTTTTCTTAAATTTGTGACCAGTTGATAAAAGGAGCCAGAAACTTAATCTGAATCCTTACAAATTATCTGTACACAAAACATTATATATATATAAAAACTCATAAGACTTTTATAAACATAAATAACAGACAAGACTCCTATGTATATAAATAACAGACAAGACCTGTATGTATATAAATAACACACATGTATATAAATAACAGACAAGACTTGTATGTATATAAATAACAAGCAGACTTGTATGTATATAAATAACAGACAAGACTTATATGTATATAAATAACAGACAAGACTTGTATGTATATAAATAACAGACAAGACTTGTATGTATATAAATAACAGACAAGACTTGTATGTATATAAATAACAAGCAGACTTGTATGTATATAAATAACAGACAAGACTTGTATGTATATAAATAACAGACAAGACTTGTATGTATATAAATAACAGGCAGACTTGTATGTATATAAATAACAGACAAGACTTGTTTGTACATAAATTACAGACAAGACTTGTATGTATATAAATAACACACAAGACTTTTATGTATATAAATTACAGACAAGACTTGTATGTCTATAAATAACACACAAGACTTGTATGTATATAAATAACAGACAAGACTTGTATGTATATAAATAACAGGCAGACTTGTACGTATATAAATAACAGACAAGACCTGTGTGTATATAAATAACAGACAAGACCTGTATGTATATAAATAACAGACAAGACATGCATGTATATAAATAACAGGCGGACTTGTATGTATATAAATAACAGGCAGACTTGTACGTATATAAATAACAGACAAGACTTGTATGTATATAAATAACAGACAAGACTTGTATGTATATAAATAACAGGCAGACTTGTATGTATATAAATAACAGACAAGACTTGTATGTATATAAATAACAGACAAGACTTGTATGTATATAAATAACAGGCAGACTTGTATGTATATAAATAACAGACAAGACTTGTATGTATATAAATAACAGACAAGACTTGTATGTATATAAATAACAGACAAGACTTGTATGTATATAAATAACAAGCAGACTTGTATGTATATAAATAACAGACAAGACTTGTATGTATATAAATAACAGACAAGACTTGTATGTATATAAATAACAGGCAGACTTGTTTGTATATAAATAACAGACAAGACTTGTATGTATATAAATAACAGACAAGACTTGTATATATATAAATAACAGACTAGACTTGTATGAGACAGAGTCATAGATGTAAAGCATGCGAATTTCTCCTTGAATTATCTCCCCACTGATGGTATACAGCCCCCTTATATATTGTACTTACATAGTTTTCCACAAACAGAGTCCATTCCTCTGTGAGACAGTAGGCCCTGAAATCGTCGAAAAAAGTTGGACTTCTGGCAGTTGGAGGCAAGTTTGGCAGGTGGAGGTCAAGATTCAGAAGGTCAAAGGCTTTGTCAATGAGCGCCTTTAATACTGGTATTAGAAAGGAGTAGTTGTCTGTATTCTCTGTAAAAATAAACACAATATCAGTGTTTTGTAATTGTTGAATACAGGAGATTTGATCAAGTCAACATAAAGGATATTAATGTAAATCTGACACAGTAATTTATCTGGCCAAAAAGGATAATTCAATTTTCTACTTTTAAAATCATGAACCTTTATATTATAACAGCTGTTCCAGTCAATAGGACAATAATGTTTCATTTATATATAACGTGAGGACAATGTTAGAAAAAAAAACAAATTAATATTTAAATAAATCTCAAAATGATGAATTACTGAGGATATATATTAAATAATGCATGCATTACCAGAATTATTCAAAATTTCTAATTAATTCATATTTTATAATTAAAAGATCAAACACATCACCAGTTTGTATAGGAAGTGTCTCCCTACCTGTGACAGCTTTGACGATGATGGTGTGGAGGTTGCCAATGATGTATGAAGCTTCGGCAGAACTAGAGATGAGCTTTGTCTGGACAAGGTTATGAAGCTTTGCTGTTGCTACAGCACACAACTGTAATATAACACAAAATTATTTGTCATGATTTTAGCAAGATTTAATCAAACACTCACTTATAGCTTCCATCTATCTACAATGCACAAATTCCATCCATTCATTTTTTATCATAAGTCCATTGACAAGTCAGCTACGGCCATACTGGTGAAGTGACTTGAACCAAAATATTTCCAGGTTTAGAATTTATTATGATGTGTTAAAATATCTCCAATGTCTGAAAAGTGATTACACTAATAGACAACAGTACACAGTGTATAGTATACCTCCAGGTTAGGATGTTTGGCAAAGAGTATGAGGAGGTTAAGTCCGAGACGAGCCATTTCTTTCCATCCTCCGTCCGATTCCACATCCCACACGGAGAGAATGTCTAACAGAGTCATCGTGTCTTCAATCAGCTGTAAAACCAGGTCACAGAAACAGCATTATAAATATGTCTCTGTGATTTCAAATAAAAAAGGTTCTTTCCATTTTATCAAGAATTTGACTGATTCTGAACTTACAAAATTTCCCTTAATCAGAATATTCCAACAGAAGTATTTAAAAGACAAAATAACCTCCAGATGAAGAATAACTAATACTGCTGTTTACACAACTGCAGTAAATCAGAAACTACAGGATAATGTTTTGAAAATGCAAAATTTTAATTATTTAATTTTATATCCAATTAACTACTTTCAAACAGCAGATTTGTTTTTAAATATGAGGCCTCGGTTAATTAATGTTATTTCTTATAAGATATTGGTTTTCACACCTCTAACATGCATCTGAGATTACAATTTTCAAGTACATTTAATATCACAGTATGTAATGATTATAATTCTCAATAATCATTATAATAATCATGATTACAAAAAACCCATTATAATCATGATAACAAAAATCATTATAATCGTGATAACAAAAATCATTATAATCATGATTACACAAATCATTATAATCATGATTACAAAAATCATTATAATCATGATTACAAAAATCATTATAATCATGATTACAAAAATCATTATAATCATGATTGCAAAAATCATTATAATTATCATTATAAATTATGTTCATATTTTATTTCATTTCAAACTTCACAAAAACAAATCATACAATTTTACATATTTTTACATTTTCTTTACCTTGAAAAAAGCATAAAGATGATATAAAGATAAATTCATTATCATTTGATACAAGTTTGGCAGTTTTATAAAAAGACATGATGACAATTGGTTAAAAAGATATTTACACCAAATCTATTAGATTCTCTTGTCTTGAGTTAATGTGTATGTAATTCTTACTGATCAGATAGTTAGGGTGTGTTTATACTGGTTTTAATTATTTCTATAATTTATCAATATCTTCTATCTTTGTAAACTATCTATTTAAACTTTTCTTTAATAAGTTTCCAATTTCTAGAAATAATATCAGTAAAACATGACTGCTTGAATAAACTATCCTCATGTGTCATTTATGAATAACTGTCCCTTTGTATCATTGTTAAATAAACAGATTTTTCAAATGTGACCTTCGACCCATTAACTTTGACTGCTGATTACCTTGACATGATATGTGGAGAGGTTCTCCAATCTTGAAATATGATATTGATTGAGAATCAGACATGATAGACAGACATGGCTGTTAAGACGTCTAGTTCAGTTACTATTTTGAGCTGGAGACACAATGCGGTTTATTGGTAAACAGAAATACTATTACAGTAGTCAAGATATACTTGTAAGAATTTTTTTTTCAAAAAACATTTTAAAGAATATGGTATTCTAACTCATACAATAAAAATTAACACATTCATTAATTATTAAATTAATATGTCATGCAAGACAATCATTATTTATCACATGACTACTGTTTTCCTGGGTTAAACAGCACATCGTTTGTATCACAGTATTAGCTTATGTTATATGTTATTTTGTGATGTAATAATATTGCATTGGCATGATATGCCTGTAAGTGTTCCGACATTAATGATGTCAAAATGCAGAAATTGATCAACCAAGTCAATATGACAGCAAGGATGATTTCAAAAACAATATCTTTTTCTGCCATACTTGCGCTCCAGTTATAAAAATAGGAAAGTTCATCTGTGACAATAAGGCTGACAGTCATCTTCATCAAACAATGTAACAAACCTATACTTAAATGAAGATAGTAAAAAAAAAAAAAAAAATATTAATGACCAATTGATTAAAATAACCAAACAGCGATTTCTTATATTAATGGTGTGGAGAATGATTAGTGGTGATCTAATAAGTCATGGTGTGGATCAAGGACTTCAATGGATGTGGATCAGGAAGGACTCTAAATTTGCAATGCATCATGGGTAGGATAAGGTTGGCCTGGGAAATTGTTTGGTAAGACATGGTGTCATTTTGAATTGGTTAACTTATAAATAATTGGTAATATTTTCATTTTTTTTTTAATAATTTCCTTCAAGTAATAAAAATCTGTGTAATTTATGCATCTTTTTCGTATATCATTTGTGTTTTCTAGCTATCATCTAAACCTTTCAGTCATTGAAATAATAACATTATGTAAAAATTAGAACAAGTCACTGATTTAAACTAAATCCATCCTTTGAAGGTCGATATGTCGTAAAAAAGTGTAAATAGACAATCAACAGTAACCCAGCAGATTTTACTCCATGGTTAAACTTCTTCTTGATCTGTCATGATCTAATAGTTACTTTGGACAAATCTTAAAGCTAAGAAATATTTATCGAAAAAGATTAGCTATCAAGGAAAAATACAGAACATAATTTTTTTGGCGATAAACAAGGAGAGTAACCATGAGTTTTAAGACCATATACCCTAACATTCAAATTAATGTGCAGTTGTGGTAACAAACATTGTCCGAAATACTTCCTACACACATCGTACACACATCGTACATACATTGTACACATCGTACACATTGTACACATCGTACACACATCGTACATACATTGTACACATCGTACATACATTGTACACATCGTACACACATCATACACATCTTACACACATCGTACATACATTGTACACACATCATACACACATGCACATGCGCACACACACACACACACATGATAAAGAAACTAGCGCAAAATTGTGCAATATGACTGCACATTTTGAGCAATTTGGTAACAAATGGTTACATAATATTTTTTTAAATGAAACAGAAAACTCACTACAGTACTTATGACAGAATAATGACCATAGGCATATCAAATGCTGATCAGCTACTGTAAATATCATTTCTAACTTCCACAATTATCCAAATACAACTGACCGTGACTTAGCATCTGTAGCGTTTAATTTCACACTTAAGAGAATAGTGAATGGTGTGTACTTGGCAACAAAAATTAACAGTATATTGGTATATACATGACAAGTCAATAACATCCAGGTCTCCCATGTGAAAAATCACAACACTTAAATCTACCTCGGTTTATATTTTTTTCTTTACAAAATAAAAGCAAAATGAAAGTAACACAGAAATAATGAAATAAAAATAATAACCATGTTGACCTTTCTTAGATTTTAGATGATTTGTTGTCAAGGCTAAAAGGGACGTCCATGTTATGTTTACATATATAACAAGTGTCTGTACACAAAGACTGGCCACTTGTGGCACTTTGTAAACAAACACTCTAAATTACTAGTGTATATAACTATTCAGTCTGTACCTGATAGATCTACATGTCTGTGACCTAAATATAATGGCTTAATTAAGAAATTACTTAATTTACCTAGCTGTTCTAAATTTATATATATTTATAGTCACACATCTTTGCAATAGAATTGTACACCATGCCACAGATGTGAGATGGCAAATTATGTTCAGTTTTCCTGTAGTTCACAAATTGTGTTCACACATCCTGTGCACAATATTTAACATTATGCAATCCCACAACTGCACATATCAAATTTACAGAGTATGAAATTAACACTTTTGTACCAACAAACTGGTTAAAGTGAGTTTTAATATTGAAGCTGAAGAATGAAATGAGAGCCTGAATCCCATGTAAGATAGACGTGATAAAATTCCACATGGTGAATCTGTACAAAAAGAGAATCAAATGTGCACAGAAATTGCCACTCCAAAAAATTGCAGATAATATATTCAACAGCTCAGAAAGGAAAAACACGTCTGATTTCTACATGCTCAATTAACTAACAATCTCTACAACTTTTACTTCATAACATTTTAAAGTGCACTGAATCAAGAATTATCTTACCTCAACCCAAATATTTTTTTTTCAAAAAAATGGTCACATTTTTTCTTTGATTGTAAGGTTTTTATCTTATTTCAATTTATTGTAAATCATTCCTTGCCGAACAAACACAAAGCACTTAAAAATAAAAAAAACTTAAATGTTCACAGTATCTTCTAAAATTATATTACAATGGGAAACTAACTAGATAACTAATATATCTATATAATATAGAACGTAAATTTTCCACAATTCATTATCAGAAAGAAAATCACACTTAACACAACCCAGTAATAAATCAAAATTCCTGACAAAATATCAAAGTCACTTTGATCATACTTTTCAAAGGGATAAAAATTTTGAAAGAAACACTTAAACAGAATTCGAGGAAAATTGGGCAAAATGCACTTAATGTATAACATAATATTTGTATTCTAATATTTCTTAATCATGGTGTAAAGTTACTTCCATGCTATTTTTCTCTGACAACCAAAAAACAAAATAAAGACACCAGGAACTATTTCTGATTTTCCTGTAGACATCAAGAAAAATTTCCTACCTGTCACAATGCTTAGGCTACATAATCTGCTACCTTATTGTAAAGGATTAAAACATTATCATATATGAGTCAGGATACTTTAAAAAACAACATTCCATGACAGAAGGAGATATACAGAGGACTGAGAGAAATACAGGGATAGAGGATGCATGGTGGCCATTTATTATTTCAATGGCAACAGAGTCTTGCGGTGAATTGTAACCATTTTACTTACAAATGAGCCTTCTGAACTTTCCTACAAATCAAAGGTGGCTGAGAAATGTTTCATCTGACAATTAAATGAGCAAATAAAAAAAAAAATTTTAAAGAAAATCTGACGTATACAAAACAAGAGGCCTAGTGACCATGACGATCATCTGAATAAAGCAATATTGAAGATAAAGGTTAAAGGGTAGTTATCAAGTTTCATGAAACAGAAATTGTGACACTGAATATAGTAAGTCAGTAAGACTTTTAAGAAAATCTGACGTATACAAAACAAGAGGCCTAGTGACCATGACGATCATCTGAATAAAGCAATATTGAATATAAAGGTTAAAGGGTAGTTATCAAGTTTCATGAAACAGAAATTGTGACACTGAATATAGTAAGTCAGTAAGACTTTTAAGAAAATCTGACATATACAAAACAAGAGGCCTAGTGACCTTGACGATCACCTTAATAAAGCAATATTGAACATAAAGGTTAAAGGGTAATAATCAAATGTCATGAAACAGAAATTGTGACACTGAATATAGTAAGCCAGTGTCAATACATGCATGCCATCAAAACTGTCTTCCTATACTGATAATTCCAGTGGGAAATAATCAAAGTTATGCTCAGCAATACTATTATTCTATGAAAATTACAAAAAAGTTTAAAAAAAAATTTTAAATCAAAGCACCTGAAGATGTTTTGATTCATACTGAGCATTTGATTCTACCATATCTGGGTGTTAATTTGACTCCATTTGGCCCCACCCATCAGCCACTGGAGGTCAGCTAGGATCAATGTGGGCATACCATCAAACCATCATCCTCCACTCATAATTCTAACAAAGTTTGAAATATTTCCACCAGAAATTAAATAAATTATACTCGAAAATCTAGTTTTCCCAAATTAATTATATTAAAATGTAACCCCTTCACGAGGGGAAATGTGAGACCCTGGGGCCATGAAATTCACAATTTTGGTTTAGCATGTTAAGATTCTACTATCCCTAAGAGCATTTGATTCTATTATATATAGGTGTTGAGAAAATTTTTTTTTTGAAATCTGAGTCTAATTGACCCCATTTGGCCCCATCCATTAACCCCTGGAAGTCAGCCAGAATCAATATAGGCATACCATCAAGCCATCATCCTTCACTGATAATTCTAACCAAATTTGAAATATTTCCAATGGAAATTAAACAAATTATGCTCAAAGATATCTAGGGCCATGAAATTCACAATTTTGGTTAAGCTTGTTAAGATGCTTCTATCCATGAAGAGAATTTGATTCTACCACATCTGCAGGTTGAGAAGATTTTAAAAATTTCTATCCCTTAGAGCATTTGATTCTAATATATCTGGGTGTTCAGACTAAGATCTGAGTCAATTTGACCCCTTTAGGCCCCATCTCTGAGGCCCTTGTGGGGTGGGAACTGTATAATTCACATTTTTGCTTCATCTTAGGCTAGGAAAAATTTCATTGAACTCGGATCAGGAGTTTTAGAGAAGAAGTAGAAAATGTTAAATAGTTTACGGACACACGACGCACTAGATCACCATGAGATCTTTGTCTCAGGCGACCTAAAAAGCTACAACGCATCAACAACAGGTACACCAAAAGACAGACATATGTATCAGATATATGTAAAATGGTGAAAGAATTCAAATTAAATTACAGAAAAAAAGTATCAAAATAAAACAGCTGATCAATATTTGATTCTCTGCTGTTCAATGATCTTACCCTTTCTGTGAATTTATCTTCCTTGCAGGATAAAAGGTTGACGTCTGCTTGCATGAAGTGTCGAACCAGTCTGACAAGTTCAATGGCATTTTCTGTTGGACCTGCCACTGCTTGTCCTGATGAAATGAAGAAATCTGACTACACCTTCCAAATCTTAGAGTTTGTATGGGGGTTTACTTAATAGTTGAAATGTTTGATCAGCACCTGCATAATCATTTGCACAGGGAATACATATTTACCGTGCTGAACTTGAGCTATAATATCAAAGTGTCTAATATCTTCAGAAGAATCTGTCAACACTTTCTTCCCACTACAACTTCCATCTAGTTTATAAATCTATTAGAGAATTTGTAAATATTATCCTATAGACAATTTCAAAGTCATTGTAACATTATTTCTTATGATGTTGGAACACAAGTTACGACTCAACAATTATGTAGACACAAGTGTTTTAACAGAACAACAATTGTGTAGACACAAATGTTTTAACAGAAGTTTGACATGAGAATTATGTTAAGTACCATCACAGAAGTTAGATTTGATAATTATGAAGACATCTGTGTCTAAACAGAGGTTAGACTTGACAATTATGTAGACATATGTGTCTTAACAGTAGTTAGACTTGATAATTATTTAAACACCTTATCAGAAGTTAGTCATGAAAATGTAGACACAAGTGTCTTACCAAAACTTCAATTAGATATCTACACAGTGTTGCACCAGTCTGTTGATTAGGCATAAAGACGCAGTTTCAATTATACATCCAATCAAAGTGTCTTACCAGAAGCCTCATGTGACATACAGACATTGTGTCTTCTCAAATACCATGATTACCAGAGGTTTGGTTGGACATGTAGACATGTGTCTTACCAGCTTCCCTAATGTCTGAGGTACATGAGTGGAGCATCATCTCCAGCAGACGACGCTTCAACTCTGTAGGGGATCGTAAAAGCTCATGTGTCTCTGCAATTCTGTCAATCCAAGAAAACACCTGTCCTCGTTCCTGTAACATTCATATCAACTTTAATATCTAAGGCATCAAAAGATTGTGTGTCATTTAGTCAAACTTCACATCTTTGTGAAAAATTCTTATTACTTTATTCAATCTTTCATTTAAGATATTGTAATTTAAAAAATAACAATTAAGACATTTCAGAACACTAAACCTGGGTTATATAATGTTATCATGTAGTGAAAACATTTTCCAAACCGAAAGTCCTAAATCTACAGAGTTACTTCCCTTGTACCATTCTAATTAAGGTGATGCCACATTGTAACCTTCCTAGTATTCACAAAAACAAACAATTCCTTTCACAAGTTAATGTACAAACCTTCCATGCAGTTTTGTCTGATCCTTCAACACCCTTCCACATCAAACTGAGAAGTATGATCAACAGATTCTGGGAAAGTTCCTCAGTGCGTTCAATATTGTTCCGTACATAGATCTTTTGTATTCCGAGATTATCTAACGCTTGCTGTATATGCTGAACCTCGTCCTGGGATTTTCTTCCAGATTCCTCAGGCCCTCCTTCTGTGACATCTGTCAGGCTCATGATACTGTCACTGGTTGAAATACTTAATGCTGATTGGCTGACAACAGACCCCGATCGGTCTTGTGATCTTTGACCTAATGTGTTTAAATCCTCAACACTTGCACTTGAACTTCGACTCATTGATCTTGGGCGTTCGTCTTCGGAGTTAGCAATGTCTTCAAATTGCTGTTGTGAAATGAACATGGGTGTGCGTGGAGTATTTGGTGTGGGTGTGAGAGAAAAGTCATTAGCACCAAGATTCAATGATGTTGGGTGTTTCGGAGTCCCATTCACTGTTATCTGTGACGGTGAATCCTCCCTCCCTTCTCTAGCTGTTTGAACCCTACTATTTGTCAATGCAGAAACATCACTAACTGTTACACCAACAGGGTTCTCAGAACCTTCTACACTGTCATGATTGTTAACAGGGTGATCAACAGTTGAACGGAAGATGAATAGCTTTGTTAAAGCTTCCTGCCATCCCAATTGCTTGGAGAAATTTTTGGCAGAATTCACTTTACCGACCAGTAAAGCTAATATCTGCAAATAAATTTTCAAATCTGAGATATGAAAACGTTTTTGGCTTTCATTGTTTTTTCCTTTTTTTTTTTTTTTTGCTTTATTACTAACCAGTAGAGCTAACATCTGTAAAGAAATTTCCAAATCTGATATATGAAATGACTTCATTACATTGAAATCTGAGAAAGAATATGAATTTTGCAATCTTGTTTAATTTGGTGAGGAAATCAAAATTGTACATTAAACTTAAAGCGAAGATCAGGTTTATATTAAAGACAGTTCAAGAGAAACAAAGAAAGATTGCTGGGAAAATGTTGAGGTAGCAGAAAGATGTATCTATTGAGGAAATAGAAAATTGTTTTTGAGCAGAAGAAAGGGAAGTAATTAAGAGTAAGAAAGGGAAAAGAAAAGATACAGAGGAAAGGATAACGAAAAAAATAAGCTGGCAGAAAAGTCATTTCTGTTTGGGAGGGGAGATAACTGTAGTAACATGTATATAAGTAGGATGAGGAAACTGAAGGAAAGTACAGTGAATACAGGAAATAAGAGAGATTAAAGAGAAGGTAGAAATACTATACCTGTCGACTGGCCTCCAACTTAATATCAGAACTGCTGTAATATATCAGTTGTAATAACGCCAACAGGGAATTACAGCACTGTGGTGAATCTGTAAGGAAAGCAACAAGTAATTATCAGCTGTAATAATGACAACAGGAAATTACAAAACTGTGGTAAGTCTGTAAGAAAACCAACATGTAATTATCAGCTGTAACAATGACAACAGGGTATTACAGCACTTTGGCAAGCCTGTAAGAAAAGCAACGTGACATAACCCACAGAAACAAGAAGTTGATAACAGCTGTCTGCAAGGAATTTAACTACATCATGTTAACATGGCAATTAGGTGAACTACTGTCCACCACAAACACACTGCCTTACCCAGGTGAACCCATACCTTAAATATGAAGTTCCAGTGATAGGTAGAGTAGGAGATAGCGACCAGAGAATTTTTTACTTTGACGTAAGTCGAAGATAAAAATATATATCAGAGTGATCTGCTTTTGATATACAACTGACCACTTCACCAAGGTGAACCCATGCCCCATGATAGAAGTTCCAAGTGAAAAACCAGTACAAGAGAAAGAGGTCAGACAAATTATTTCTCTGATAGAATCAAAGGTCAAAATGTAGGTCATAGTGACCTACTTTTAATACATAACACACTTAATTATCACGGTGAACCCATATCTAAAATATTAAGTTGTAGTGACAAGTAGAGAAGGAGGTAGAGTCCAGACAAAATAGCAGAATGATGGACCTAAGGACTTAAAGACACAAGGCAAGACTATAGTTCTCCAGGACATCAAACAAATTAAGTCTATATACTGATATTTTATTTCTCCCTTTACCAAGCATTACTCTCTAACGTATATAGAGTAGCAACATAAGCCATCAAACAATTTTTCACTTATATCGAAGAGTGGTTAAAAACACACAAAATGTAAATGTAATGATAATTTCAAATAATATTATTGCACAAGAACTAAAAACTCACAACAGCGAAAAATAATTTACCTGCGATGGCGACAAATTCAATGAAGCGTTTGATCATAGGTCCTGATACTTCACAGTTCTGCATCATGCCAACCAATCCAAGATGACCACATTCGTTGAGGCGAACACGACTTTTGCTTTTCTCATATACTTTATCTGACTTCAAAATTGTATGTAGCACCTATAGAAAACATGATTAATCATCTATCTGATACTTCTAATACTATGGATATATTTTAATATGAACAACAAAATCTTTCTGGTAAATTAATTATTGTTTCTTGAAAACATATAAACATATCCAGAAAAAGTCATCATAATTGAAGTAAATTATAATATATTCTATGAAAATATACCCCCCTTATTCCTACATATTGGTCAAAGTTGACATGGTCAGAGAAAGGAATTATTGTCAAAAGAATATACCTTTATGATTTTTTCGTAGAACATGACAGAGTATCCTCCCTTGACTAAAAGTCCCAGAAACAGTTCTGCCATATCAGGTTCAAACATGAAAAGATATAGCTGGTCCTGCCGTCTCTGCATGTCCAGCAGAGAGAGTAGCATATCCAGGGTCTCACACACCTGTCAATACAGTAGAAAATAATGTTCTCACACACCTGTCAGTACAGTAGAAAATAATGTTCTCACACACCTGTCAGTACAGTAGAAAATAATGTTCTCACACACCTGTCAGTACAGTAGAAAATAATGTTTTCACACACCTGTCAGTACAGTAGAAAATAATGTTTTCACACACCTGTCATTACAGTAGAATATAATGTTCTCACACACCTGTCAATACAGTAGAAAGTAATGTTCTCACACACCTGTCAATAGAGTAGAAAGTAATGTTCTCACACAACTGTCAGTACAGTAAAAAATAATGTTCTCACACACCTGTCAGTACAGTAGAAAATAATGTTCTCACACACCTGTCAGTACAGTAGAAAATAATGTTCTCACACACCTGTCAGTACAGTAGAAAATAATGTTCTCACACACCTGTCATTACAGTAGAAAATAATGTTCTCACACACCTGTCATAACAGTAGAAAATAATGTTCTCACACACCTGTCATAACAGTAGAAAATAATGTTCTCACACACCTGTCAATAGAGTAGAAAATAATGTTCTCACACACCTGTAAATACAGTAGAAAATAATGTTCTCACACACCTGTAAATACAGTAGAAAATAATGTTCTCACACACCTGTCAGTACAGTAGAAAATAATGTTCTCACACACCTGTCAATACAGTAGAAAATAATGTTCTCACACACCTGTCAGTACAGTAGAAAATAATGTTCTCACACACCTGTCATAACAGTAGAAAATAATGTTCTCACACACCTGTCAGTACAGTAGAAAATAATGTTCTCACACACCTGTCAGTACAGTAGAAAATAATGTTCTCACACACCTGTCATAACAGTAGAAAATAATGTTCTCACACACCTGTAAATACAGTAGAAAATAATGTTCTCACACACCTGTCATAACAGTAGAAAATAATGTTCTCACACACCTGTCAGTACAGTAGAAAATAATGTTCTCACACACCTGTCAGTACAGTAGAAAATAATGTTCTCACACACCTGTAAATACAGTAGAAAATAATGTTCTCACACACCTGTAAATACAGTAGAAAATAATGTTCTCACACACCTGTCAATACAGTAGAAAATAATGTTCTCACACACCTGTCATTACAGTAGAAAATAATGTAAAAAGTTTCTCTTTCGATGGTTCATATTTTTCCAATTTTAACAAAAGTTTGAAGCAAAAATGAAATATTTTTCATTGAAATGTAATTCTTAGTAATTGAACCTCTACATAAAGGTCACCTCTTTATAAAGGCCACATGCTATCAAAATCAAAAGGTCCATGGGCCTTAATGGTCACTTGAGGTTTCAGGCCATCGATCCCAGTGTTGAGGCAGACAGAACAGAACCGATATATGCATACTAAGTTTTTTATTGTTTCTAATTTTGCTTTGAACAAACATGATAGCCTTTTATCTCAGCATGCTATTGGCCCAATATCATAACCCTGGGCCATTATCAAGACCTAAAAAAATTCCTTCATCAACAAAATATATTTGCTTTTTATATAAAAGCAACCTGTCTGTAAAGACCGCTTTTTCTGTGCTCTGTTGAGTGGGCTTTTTAAACAGGTTTGTCTGTACAGTTGTTTTATGTGTGTGATGTGTTTGATGGTGTCAGTAATGATAAATGCAGTGTTCTCACCAAGTCCTCTTCCTTAACAGTGAGGATGAAGGAGATGATGGTGGACACCTCCTCTGCAGTGACATCTTTTGTCATGTAATACTTGACTAGACTAAGAAGGGATCCGCGAATCGTCTTGGCATCCACCGCTGATAATCCACTTTCACAAGAACTGCAATATACAAGTTAATGTAGATAATGTGCTGTCGCCATAAAAAATTCTCACATTACAGATCATTTAGTCTTACACTTTCTGCATTCAATTCCAATTTCATGGACAAGATTGTAAGCGCCTTCCCACATGTGGTGCAATCGTTTTGTAAAATGATAGTTAGTATGGTAGTTCTTCTGCTCACCTTATCACTTAACCAGTTATCACTCATCATAACCCATATTTTGCTTGTGTGCACAACTTATATGTATTCTTGCTTCATTTCAACAATAAACTTAATAAACATGTTCAATAGTTTTTATTCGTTTACTCTGTTTTTCTCATTTTCAATGCCTCTGAAATCAAATGTAGAATCCAAGTCTGCCATTTTGTTGTCGTAGTAAACGACCCAATATAAACAAGTCATTCAGGATTATTTTATGATCTTAACAAATGAGTATGCTTGTAACACATAAAGATTGAATTCATTATTTTGTGTTTGCTAATCATTATTGTTAGATCAATATTTCTTCAGCCAACTCCTACATGCAACCATGCCTAACTGGTGAGCAATATGTATTTCATGATGTCTGGAGGCATTACAAAAGGGACATAACTTTAAAAATACAGACAGGAAAGAAGGCATGTTTATTACGACATATGAAGATGTCATGAAATATATGGGAGCACGTGATGTCATAAAATGTCATGAGCTTACTGACAATATATTGAAAACATGTAGCCGGGACAAATTCTACCCATGACTTTCTTCTAACCTTCAATACCTTGTTTAAAACTAAACGAAGGGACATAACTTTACAAATAGACAGAATTTGGTGTATGTGACTTTATTTATCAACTTAAGTCAATACACCATTAGAAGATGTTCCCTTGACAGATAGTGATCTATTTATTGAGAACTTGAAACTAAATTTATGTTGACTCAAGACCAAATTTATATTGCCTTGAAAATAAATTTATGTTGACTCAAGACCAAATTTATATTGCCTTGAAAATAAATTTATGTTGCCTCAAGACCAAATTTATATTGCCTTGAAAATAAATTTATGTTGACTCAAGACCAAATTTATATTGCCTTGAAAATAAATTTATGTTGACTCAAGACCAAATTTATATTGCCTTAAAAATAAATTTATGTTGCCTCAAGACCAAATTTATGTTGCCTTGAGACAAAAATTTATGTTGCCTTGAGAGTTTCATAGACATGATAATCCTGTCTGGAAATCATTGTACAAACCTGTAGTAGGTTCTAACTATGTCCATTATATACTGTACACCAAATTTCTTCCTGAAGTATTTTCTGTCGTCTTTGATTATTGTAGATAGGTACTGGATATGCCCTGAAACCAAAATCATATAAAATCAATGTTGGTCATTTTGCATTTTTTTTTCAGCCAAAAACAAGCTAAAAACTTTTTTTTCCCAAACTGAAGATAAAAATTTTTCATTTTAAAGAAAATACTGCTATATTTTCCCCAAACTAAACAACAATACATACTACATTTTACTTATTTATTCAAACAAAAAAGAAGGAGAAATCTATTTATTGCTGATTATTTACAGCCCTTTCAATCAACAGGTTAATTTACATTGTTTGAAGAACAGAGTACCGTGCTATTTTAGTCAATGAATGGATCACCATCAGGAAACTGATATCATTAACTTCATCTGGACTTCCTATTTCAGTCGAAATTAAGATAGGTTGAAATATTTCCCACAGTCCCTTGAATTTCCAGATAATGAGTTTCAACTATATTTTTTTTTCAAATGCTTTGACATGTTTGATGTCTTCATTGCACCTTGGTTTAATATTATCAAATACATATTAAAGTCTTTAATTATGATGTGTAATATTTCTATATTTTTCCCCACCATAACTTCTAAAGTTCTAACAATTTTACTTGTTAATTTGCTATGATCTTAGTCCACAAAACAAAAATAAGAATTGAGAATTCAGTTAAAAAACTTTTAATGTGATTTCTGTTAGTACCTATCCTGACAGGGAATTCGCTCTTGCTCCAGATCCTGAAGTCAAACAGGATGTGCTGATAAAGATGGTTCACCATACTTTTGTTGACAGTCATCGTCGTCTCCACCAGTAACTGGACGGCCATTAATACGTTGACATCTATCAGCTTTGGGTCAACCTGGAAGTTAATGTATGTCATTCAGAGCTATTCACAGATAGACAGATTATTTAATGTTCCCAGTCAAAATCGATCCAACAGTATATAAAAATATCTCATCTCAAAATAAACTTCTCCAGAGTGTACTTTTAAATGTTATTCAAAGTTTCTAAATTTTCTATTATCTTGCACAAAAACCCTGTCTAAATCTGGTATCCAAGAAAATCTAAGTCTCAGCAATTATCAAAACAGTTATATTAGAATCAATTTGGGCTGAAGACTTTGATTATCTCCCATTCACTTTACATACATGATCTCTTCATGCAGGAAAGCTCTTCTTGAAATTGGAAATGCCAGACTAATAAATACTTTCAATATACATGAAGTATACTTTCTGGCTTCTAAAAGAGAGTTCCATATAAGATGACAATGTCAGTTCTTGTGTTAAAGAGACATCACACATGTACCTTTTGCAGGAGAGCTCCGAGTGTGGTGGCAGCACCAGTTCTAACAAATGTGTCCTGGTTCATGCTCTTGGTGTGAACCATGTGGCGTAACAAGGTCAGGAATCCCGACACCTGGTTCTGTTCTAGTTTGGCATCTACATCACCAACAGTGACACAAAGTGAGTTAAAACAAACAGATGACAAATTCTTATTTCTATTAAAGGACAGAATCTTGTAAGAAATTTTCGCTACCAAGAAGATCAACCATTTTATTTCTATCAAAGGACAGAAGCTTGGAAGGAGATGCAATAAAAGCTGATGATAGGTGGGCACGGAAAAGATGGATTGCACATTGCAGTTGGTATTTTTCATCACCTTCAGATTGGGAACTTGGCTTTGAATTTTGGAGAAACTTTCTACAAAATCTAAACTTAGGAGAAATAGTGAAACACAAAGATATTTAAAGTTAATCAGAACAAATAGGTTTATTTCTGTCCAATGTTGCTATTAAAGCAAAAACACTGCCATCTAAATCCGGAGCTAACTTTACATACCCAGGGTAAGTTGTACATTGGAGAATACCATCTAGATGTTTATTTTAAATTCTTCAACAACCATTTATTTGGGGATTTTAACAGTTGGATTGGGAAAATAATAAGGGCTTTGTCATTGAGAATAGGGATCCTAATTGGCCCCAAATACTACTTTGTAATAAATCATCTACAGAAACGCAGTCAAAAAAACAAAATAGATAAAATGTACATTAAATCCTATACAATCAACATCATCAAATTAAAAAATATCACGACAAGAAAATGAGAAATAGATGAAAAATCAAGATTTAAAAGATAACAGACCAATGAGAACTCTGACCATTTTTATTTTAATATGAAAAGATTTAGCTACCTGCATATGAACTACTAGGGATAACAACCCAGTCATCTTGTTCCTGTGAACTGGAGTGTGACATGACACCTGGACTTTCGGGAGGGGATATGACCACCTCCCCAGGGAAGGGACCTTTGTTCACCTGCTCAAGCAGAGGAATTAGCACCTGAATACCGCCAATACAGTTGATCACATCCTGAAAAATAACAAAATCATTCAATGTTTATGTTCAGTTTTTTTCCAAAATCCCTTTTAAGAAATAATTTCAGTCACTAGAGAATGTTGATGCTATATGTTCAAAAATCTAATGAATAAGTGTTTAGAAGTTATTCATTCAACTAGAACTGACCTCTGTGACCCTGACTGCATCAACTTTGACCTATGACTTCTATCTGATAATCAACAGCAACTGATTAGTGAATACATTTCAATTACATGGGACATTCCTTGACTGTTAAAATCTCTCTTCAATGTATTCTCAATAATTCAGATTACATTGTATGGTCATGTATACAATGTTGACACACCTTAATGTTTGTTTTTAAAAAATGATTGAAATGGTCATCTCTCTCTCATGTTGTTCAAACAAGACAGAAACCAGTAGAGTCAGGCGTCAGTCAAAGTTAGATGTCAGAAAAGTCAGGTGTCAGTAAAGTTGGATGTCAGAAAAGTCAGGTGTCAGTCAAGTTGGATGTCAGAAAAGTCAGGTGTCAGACAAGTTGGATGTCAGGTGTCAATCAAGTCACTATTATTAATAATATACAGGATATCTGACATTCAAGTCAGACATCAGTAAGCTGGACACTCTACTGCTCAACTAAATGGCACTTCCCACTAGTGGAAGCTAGGATGTCCTTTCAGTCAGATGTCTGAAATGTTAGGTGTCTGTAAAGTCAGATGTCTGAAATGTTAGGTGTCTGTAAAGTCAGGTGTCTGAAACGTTAGGTATCTGTAAAATCAGGTGACTGTAAAGTCAGGTGACTGTAAAGTTAGGTGTCTGAAACGTTAGGTATCTGTAAAATCAGGTGACTGTAAAGTCAGGTGTCTGAAACGTTAGGTATCTGTAAAATCAGGTGACTGTAAAGCCAGGTGACTGTAAAGTTAGGTGTCTGAAACGTTAGGTATCTGTAAAATCAGGTGACTGTAAAGCCAGGTGACTGTAAAGTTAGGTGTCTGAAACGTTAGGTATCTGTAAAATCAGGTGACTGTAAAGTCAGGTGTCTGAAACGTTAGGTATCTGTAAAGTCAGGTGTCTGTAAAGTTAGGTGTCTGTAAAGTCAGGTGACTGTAAAGTTAGGTGTCTGTAAAGCCAGGTGACTGTAAAGTTAGGTGTCTGAAACGTTAGGTATCTGTAAAATCAGGTGACTGTAAAGTCAGGTGTCTGAAACGTTAGGTATCTGTAAAGTCAGGTGTCTGTAAAGTTAGGTGTCTGTAAAGTCAGGTGACTGTAAAGTTAGGTGTCTGTAAAGCCAGGTGTCTGTAAAGCCAGGTGACTGTAAAGTTAGGTGTCTGTAAAGCCAGGTGACTGTAAAGCCAGGTGACTGTAAAGTTAGGTATCTGTAAAGGAAGTTTATAATTTGATATCTGTAAAGCCAGGTTAAAGTCAGGTGTCTGTAGAGTTAGGTTATTGTCAGATGTCTGTAAAGCCAGGTTAAAGTCAGGTGTCTGTGGAGTTAGGTTATAGTCAGATATCTGTAAAGTCAGGTTATAGACAGGTTATAGTCAGGTATCTATAAAGACAGGTTATAGTCAGGTATCTATAAAGACAGGTTATAGACAGGTGTCAGTAAAGTCAGATTATAGTCAGGTGTCTGTAAAGTCAGGTTATAGACAGGTTATAGTCAGGTATCTATAAAGACAGGTTATAGTCAGGTATCTATAAAGACAGGTTATAGACAGGTGTCAGTAAAGTCAGGTTATAGTCAGGTGTCTGTAAAGTCAGGTTATAGACAGGTTATAGTCAGGTATCTATAAAGACAGGTTATAGACAGGTGTCTGTATAGTCAGGTTATAGTCAGGTATCTATAAAGACAGGCTATAGACAGGTGTCAGTAAAGTCAGGTTATAGTCAGGTATCTATAAAGACAGGTTATAGACAGGTGTCAGTAAAGTCAGGTTATAGTCAGGTGTCTGTAAAGTCAGGTTATAGACAGGTTATAGTCAGGTATCTATAAAGACAGGTTATAGACAGGTGTCTGTATAGTCAGGTTATAGTCAGGTGTCTGTTAAGCCAGGTTATAGTCAGGTGTCTGTGAAGTTAGTTTGATATTGCTGTTGTGTTTATAAGGTACCTTGATATCCCAGGTGACACACCGTTTGCCAATGAGCTGGCCATGATTTAGATTCTGAGACAGGTCCACACACAGTCCATCCCTGGATGCCTGTAATGACATGCACAATGATTAGGAATTGTTCTGATATAAGAATTTCTATTCAATATACATATTATTAACCAGAGGAAAATGTTGGGAGGTTTACTATACCTGGGGAGATACTTCTAACAGGTAACATATAAGTAGTCGGCATATTATAATGTAACAACATCCTATAATACATCCCCCCCAGCAGTCTCTTGTGTTATAAGAACATGTTTAGAGCTGACCATACATCATGTATCACTCAGTAATGGTGATAGACTGTGTGACATCATGTTTGTGATACATACCTTGGCATCATATTGGAGAACCATCTTTGGGACTAGATCATTCAATTCAGAGAATTCTTCATTGGCAAATAATGTCTGATGATTTGGTCCTGTAAACAAAGGTCACGCTTTTAACTTGACATTCAAAAATATTCTTGTATTAAAATTGAGCATTTTCTTCCCATGGCAAAACATTTACTTAAATGTAACATTTCTTTATTTTCAGACCACATTCATGAGAACTTGAAACAGTTAAAATAAACAATTGTCAATAAAGTTTCTAATCCTGACTCTGAATTGTTGCTTTACATTCTTCTAACAGCCAGGGTTATTTAAGGATGTGCCAGGTTTTGGTGGTGGAAGGAAGCCACACTTCTCGGAGAAAAACCACCAACCTGTGACCAGTACCTGGCCACTGCCTTATACATAGGCCCCAAACCTGTGACCCAGAACTGGAGAGCTAGTGATAGACAGTCAGATGCCTTACCACTCAGCCATCCAAGGACTCTAAAGCATTAACATCACATCAAAAGGTCAACAAGAGACAACATCATCATGTTACAAACCTGCTGAGAATAAAGCTTTCACTTGACTTGGATGCAAAGCATCATGGAAGAAGCAGATCAGACCAAGTTGTCCGTGAATTGAAATGGGAGACCCCCACGCATCATCCTGTGTTCCAGTCAGTAAGGAGTTCACCCCTGGTTCACAGGGACTTGGCTTTGATTGGCTTGGAAATAAGAACTTCAGAGGTGATTTTTTAGTCTTTGTGTCCGCGACTGGACCTGATTGGTCGAGTACCAAGTTCATGGTTGAACGAGGGCATGGCGATCCAACACGGCAAGACGTAAACGCCTGAAATACATTTCCATTATTTGGCTATTGTCGTAATTTTGATGTCTTTGAATTCAAACGATTACTGTTACTAAGTCCAAATAAAAAGGATTTACATCATAATGTATTAATTCATATGCTGATGTACATTTGATGACTTCAATCATCCACACAAACATTTATCATATATAATCTGTGGCTAGGTATACTGTAAATTTTCACTTAATACATTCTGTCAAGGAAGCAGAGATCATGAATTTTTTTTATCTGAATACCTCCTATACATGTCAAATCTCAAGTTTTGGACTCTAGTTTCCAGTTTATTTAAATAAATTTGGCGGTTAACAATTTATAATTTCGTTCCTAAAAAGGAGACTTTTGAAAATGAAATCTGTTGTTTTCAATCATACAATCTGTGAGCAATTTTGTTTATACTTAAAAAATTACAATACACAAGGTTGTGCTCAGATGTTGAAGCACAAATATGAATGAATTTAAGAAACATAGCCAAACAATCTTCTATTAGTAAAAGATTTTCTAATTGGAAATATACTGCTCTGATTCACTGACATTTTTGGATATTTATGAGGCCCGATAATTTCATTGGTTTAGAATAAGTGACCTAAGTGTGACCATTGACTAACAAGAGAATATGTTATAATACATACTTCAGTCATGTTAGGAGATTTTAATTGTGAGTTGAGTTTGAGTCTCCCATCAATGTAGACATTGAGCTGACTATTGGTGAATGGCCGACGTGAACTGGTATGGACTATGGCTATACAATGCTGAAATATTTACAAAGTATGTTTTAATATCAATTTTTAATAAAATTTGAGAAAAAATATTCAATAATGTAATGAATTTACGATCTAAATGTATCATATAACAGAACAGATATAGGATTTATCTTGAAATCAATGTCTATTTGCTTCAAAATATTTCATATGCAGCAATACTGTTTTATCACATAATGTTATTTTTAATGATATTTTTTTTCTATGAACGAGTTATGTTGAAGAGAAATAAGTTCTAAAACTCTTGACAGTTGGTATAGACAAACAGATTACTGATAATGAGACAGTACTCTACCACTGTGATGTGATATTAATAAGAACAACTCACCCAGAGATTGTCGTTGAGGCCTGTATCTGTTACTATCACAGTAGAGTATTCTTTACGGTTATATACAGCTATCACAATATCAAAAGTTGGCGTCACAAACGCCTCAAATCCACACCCAGCATTGGACACAAAGCTGTAACATAAAACATTTATCTACAGCTAAAAAGGTCTCAAATCACGTACACATCACAAATCCTTCAAATCCACACTCACCACTACACACAAAGCTTTGTAACATAAAATATTACAGTTGTATGATGATAATCACTATCAACTTAAGGTTTGAGAAAACCAAACATTTGGCAGAAAGAAACTTAATCACACATCTAGAAATCCAAGAGTGACCTTGAAGGAAATTTAACCTTGGTCAACGTTGAGAAAGTTGAGTAAGGTATGCACTTACTTTTTCTCCCGACCTCAGATTCTACCTACTCGCATGTAAAGGATCCTACTAAAGTACATGTTGTCCTGTAGGTTGTACACTTACTCGAACATTCACACCCAAAGTGTTGTGTTATAGGTTTGTCCTACTCACCAATAAAGAATTCTTCTGTAGGAAGCATTGTCCTGTAGGTTGTACACCTACTCAAACCTTCACACCTAGGATTCTCCTATATGAAGTGTTGTGTTATAGGTTTGCCCTACTCACCTATAAAGGATTCTTCTGTAGGAAGCATTGTCCTGTAGGTTGTACACCTACTCAAACCTTCACACCTAGGATTCTCCTATATGAAGTGTTGTGTTATAGGTTTGCCCTACTCACCTATAAAGAATTCTCACATTGTCCTATAAAGACACCCAGGATTCTTATATGAAGTGTTGTGTTATAGGTTTGCCCTACTCACCTATAAAGAATTCTTCTGTAGGAAGCATTGTCCTGTAGGTTGTACACCTACTCGAACCTTCACACCCAGGATTCTCCTATATGAAGTGTTGTGTTATAGGTTTGCCCTACTCACCTATAAAGAATTCTTCTGTAGGAAGCATTGTCCTGTAGGTTGCACACCTACTTGAACCTTCACACCCAGGATTTTTCTATATGAAGTGTTGTGTTATAGGTTTGCCCTACTCACCTATAAAGGATTCTTCTGTAGGAGGTTTTGTCCTGTAGGTTGTGAAGTTTAGTGTCTACAGTACCATCAAGACAAATCCAAGACAGGAAGGAGAATCCAGCACCAGGCCATTTCCGGAAAGATGGCAATGTTATACACTGCAAATACAAATATAATTTTTTTCATTATTTCAAATTCAATCATACAAGGTTCTACTTTCAATATGCCTTCATCTGACGACATATTCGTTTTTTACATCAATCTAACAATGTTCCCATTTTATACCTCAATATGAAGACATTGATGACAATGTTCACGTTTTAGTGTCAAAATTTCATGTACCATAAAACCCTTTATGATTGAGGGAGATTGATTTCTGTTGCTTTGTGGGTATTCTTAATCAATTAATGAACATGTCCTCAACCTGTTTCTCTAGCAGTTGGATATTCCTTTCATTATTTGTTTTGTACAGCTACTGTATAAGTAATTTCGTTATTATCACATTGGTAAGATGCTGAAAATGTCGAAATACAAAACCACACCATGTAACATTTTTTTTGGTGCTAAAAGGATCATTCCTTTTTTTTTTTAGAAATTATCCCTTACGAGGCAGTCATCTTTCTGTAAGGAACACCTAAAATGTAATCCCTCAACTTTCACTTAATGTAAATATGCAGATTTTAAAAATTAATACTTGTAACCATGTAATGATTCTTGCCTATAAGAAAAACTTACATCTGCTGTTTCCTGGAGGTTGAAGAAATGAAGTGCTCCCTCTTTCCCCTCACGGCGGGCCATAGTGGATATAGCATGCATCAGACGACTACAGTACGGATTCTACAAATCCAAGTCTTATAAGTGAGTAAAACTAAATATGGGTTTAAAAATTTTCATTTATCATTACAACATACTGCAAAGGCTGTTATTTTTGAGGGGTTTTTTTTATATATATTTTTGAGGATGAAATAACGTGAAGGAAACTAAATACCTTGAAAATAATTGAGAAAATTATAGTCCATTTCATGAATTTTGTCACAAATACATCATTTCTGATTCCAGCAGTTCTGCATGGAACGACCATTTCTAATGGCAAATGGTATAAATTCATGGCTACTATGAAACTGGCTTTAATCACCTTAATTTGCATTTCTGATTGAAGATCTTAAAATGTTAGGATATCTATATATCATTAAAAATTATAAAATTAGAAATATTATGAGCCAGAAAATTACAATTCCTAATTGACAGTTATACATGATTATAAATGAGTATCTATTGAACTGTTTTCCCACCTGTTTTTCCTCTTCATCCAATCGCAGGAGACCGATTAGCTGTTTTAACTCTGTTGCTGTGATGGACTGGGTCCCCAGGGACTCCAGGAGGCTGATGAGGTGACCTAAGAAAGTCGTAAGTCATTGAGAATCAAACTGACATTACCTATCACCAGATCATTAGTTATAAAACTTGACTGCAGTGTCATCAATAATTTTTATATCAGAGTTCATGATTAATCGGTGTTGACTTACGTACAGATTCAGCTTTCCTAGGAATGAACAGTGACAGGACAATCTAACATAATTCTTCAACCTCATCTAATGTGATGATCAATTGTTATTTTTCATAATCCAGCACTGGTACCTTAATATTTTCTTGAGTTTTAGCAAAAACTAAAATCCATAAACAAAATAACATGCCATTTGCAAATAATATATATTCTTATGCAAATTCTTGGTAAGTTAGGTTAAATAGCTTAAAGTTACTGAAAAATTAAATATTACTACAATGAGGAATGCGTTCACTTTCTATATCTACTGAACACAGTCAGCCAAGCATGTAACCAATTAACTACATTGGAAAGCCTATCCAAATTTAAGTGGTCAGATTTTCAATTATGGATTTTAAGCAAATTCCCATTACTAGCAATAAATACAAAGACCCGCATACAAGTATCTTTTGAGTGGAAACCATGATAGCCTGTTAGCAGTCAAACAAAACCAATTTTATGTAGTGCTACAATGAGCAGAATTTTGTTTACATTTTTTTTTTTTTACAGAAAATTACCCACTTATAAAAAATTTCTGTGAGCATTTCAAACATGACAGAAATAATTAACTTTTTAATCCCACAGTTAGCCAATGACTGGTGTCCATCCATATATCTACAAAGCTATTTTTACAAACCAATGCTACTGTAAAGTCATATATTTTACCAGGATCAATTTTTGTTATTTAAAAAAAAAACATGATTTCATGGAGATTCTATTTTGCTGTTGTTATAGCTCAAGAAATGTACTTTTACTAATTTTGAGAACTAAACTGAAGCATATGTCATCAAAGCTAAGCCTAAATCAAAGAAGAAATATTCAGGGAACAAAATAAAAAAAGATGACTGAGTTTCTGGCTGACAACATCTTCGTTGGGTTTGGTTGTATGATCTTCCAACAGACTATTGGTTTACCAACAGGAGGGAACTGTGCCCTTCTGTTGGCTGACTTGTTTTTGTTTTCATATGAGGCTATATTTATAGAACAGCTTATCAACACAGGTCACAAAGACCTTTGTAAAGTAATTTAACTTCACTTTCAGATCTATTGATGATGTCTTGTCTTCATTTAATTACAAGAGATTTATTGACAATATCCATCATATAGACCCACCAGAATTGAAAATCATGGAAACAACAGACTCTTCTGCATCAGCCACATATCTCGATCTTTTCCTAATTTCCCTATTTTGAATTTTCCATTTCTGTTGGTTCTGTTGTTGTATACCTTGTTCCCATTTGAGAACATGCCATTACATACTTGGATTGACCAGGGTTTACAAGGCAGGTATCATCAATGAAGTAGAAGACGCTTACTCTTCCAGAACACCTGGTCTTATTATCCTTGTGCTTTTTCAGGATTTCTTTAAAATCCTTCCTTTAATCAAATTTTCCCTTGATTTATAGAATTTGAATTATGATTGTATTCCCCTGTAGATATTTTCTTGTTGTTTTTTACAGTTTGTGAACAAATGCATTCATGGATCTAGAGCACCCTAAAAATTATCGCAAATAAATTCCCCACAAAAATGTATGATTTTACAGAATTTCCTTGCCCTTAAAATAAGCCCATCCACTGATTGTGATTAAGTATTTGTAAATTAGTTAAAGCATGATACATACATCAGTAGAGAAGTCTTACCAACAGCTTTCTGATTGATTTGACGTTCTCGTCCTAGAACGGTTAAAATGGCACTGATCATTCCGTCATTACAGCAGTTCATCTTGTTGTTGTGACCTCTCCCACAGAGCGTGCTCAGACTCTCTGACAGCCATATTTGGAGATCATGTGACTGTATGTCAGGCAACCAACATAGCAACATAATGGCTGCTTGTGTATTATGTACATTGAGTTCTTCTGTGTTGTCAAAATCGCTCTCCACAACCTGAATATTTATTACATAAGAATAAATCAATGGGATAAAAGCTTTCACAAAAAGCATTGTAATACCAAAATCCTTGTCTCTACATCAAGAATGAGATATTTTAGTAGTTATGACAGCAAAACGACTGTTTAATGTACAAAATTTCATTTTCTATTGAAGAAAACAGCGAGTAAAACTGAAAAGTGCTCCCTAAAAACAACTTTATTGAACACAAAATTTTAATAAAGGGCAATAATTATGTGATTAAGGAGTGTCGGAACCTGAAGTTGGTACACTTCACATCATCTTAGTATGTACCAAGTTTCATTGTCCAAGTTTAAATAAAAGCAAAATTGTGCTCTGGACACAAGGGCAATAACTTTGTTATTAATAGATATGATTAGTCTATAATTGTGGGGTTGGGAGACCGGAATTTGGTACACTAATATTTGCTTAAATATGACGAGTGTATACAAGTTTAACCATCTCTGCTTAACTAGCAAAGTTATGCTCCAAATACAAAAAAATGGAAGGAAGTTCTACACTGAATAACTTAATGCTGTATCATTAATTTATACAGTCCCTTAACAGACAAAGCTAAACACAACTTATAAACCCGGATGCTAATTGGCAGGGCATAGTTACCAGATTTAAGACCGCCTTTAGTAGCTCTATAGATGGTTGTCCAAGGCTCTTCAAAGCCTCCACAAACTTTGTATAACCAACCCTTAGCTGGAATCTCTCCTGTTTAAATATAAACACATCCAAATCAACTCAATGGTATCACCAGCGTGCCAGTTTGCAAAAACTGAGTCACATATCACTTTTAAACATTTTCCCTCAATAGTGAACGATTCAAAATGCCGCAATGAAATGTTACACTAACCTTGGCATTTACAGAACCTGACAGCACTGTACTCATCACCCGCAGTACAGACATGGCTAGTCTCTGGGCCTCGCTCCCAGTCAACTGTAAATATAAATAAACAAATTATTTGTGTTCTGTCATATCATTCATTTATGTAGGGTTTCTATTTCCTTTTCACCAACTGATCATGAATTCATGATCTGTTGTATTGTGACTTTGTACAAAACACGGATTAATCTAGACAAATTTTACTATTGGAAAAGGTAGTATTCCCAAAGTGGGATGTTTCCGCCTCTGCATTTAAACAAATTCCTCATAAAGAAAGTATACTGAAAACATGGGAAAATTTCCTCAACACAGACTACTTACAACAGATTATTAACTTTTTTTTTAAAGCAACCAGCCATGAAAAAGAAGTAACAATCCAGCCTCATTTGTCTTCTTTTTGTTTATGAAATCATCATGCATGTCATATATTCAACCTTATCCCTCTTTGTATTCTGAGAAGAAGAACTATCTGGAATTTCTCCATTTCTCAAAATTGGCCAATAATTCCCCCTTTTTTCCACAATGTGTAGTATTTCCCAGATTTACCCATACAGACTGTACTTTGAGTATGTGCTGTCTGTAGTATTCTAATTCAGTGAGATACCATATCCTAAGCTCAACCATAAACAAAAGTTTGTGACGTCATGACTACCAACTGAAATTAAAGCCTGTGTACGGAGATAGAAAACTACAACACTTCAAATAAAGGCACCTTAATAAAACCTGATCCATTCTGAAGGAGGGTATATTTATAATCATCAGCCAGAATACATGTTAAGTATCTCTCACAAGTGTCCATATACAAAATGTTCTTTACAAGAATTCAGCTTCATTTATTGGGATTATCTCCCCTTGAACAGTTGCATGATTAAGGCACAATGTCATACTGAACAACATGCAATAGGTCTGTCGTTTCCAATCCAAAGCAATTGTGTTACAATGTCTTGTCAAAAGACTCAACCATGTTATCACAAACTAGACCGCTTCCTGAGAACACACATGGTTCTGAGTAGAGACAAAACATCTGACCATCACATCAGGTCACGAAGTGAGATGCTCTACGAAATATAATATTGGATAGTCTTACGTATCCGTAATACAAAGTATTTCACATAATGACTTATTCTGTTCTTAACCTTTGTGTATTGTGTGTGCTTTATGATCTCTTGCAGACATTAGATAATGATACAGCTGTTAAGCCAAGTACAGTAATTTTATGATTCTATGGTGATGAAATTTATACTTACAGCAGTTTTCTGTAGCAGTGATACAAATGCATCGAACGTGCCACCGCTCACCATGATGACCTGTAGGGCACTTTTATCCTGACATGCCAACATCTCGTTAATGGCACCTTCAACACAAAACACTCATATTCAAATGTAACATTGATTCCAGTCACCTATAGGTCCATCATAAAACATCTAAATATTATTTTTATTTCTTCAATTTTTTCTTTTTTATTATTGTTGAATTTATTTTGATTTGTTGGTGATGTACCATATTTACACTGGCAATAAACCCATGCATTGTAATAAGCCTAATCATATCTGTTTCTGTTCAATAGCATTACCAACAGATACTTTATCAATACCCTGTAATAAACCTATTATCTGACTTCGAGTGTTGGCCTCCTGGGCCTAATGCAGAATAGTATAGTGTAGTATCAATTATGATACTTTATTTGAAAACTTCGCTACATACCTATCATGGCAATCTGCATACGAGTTTCATGTTCATCCTCTGGCTCCATGTCATTCTCCAGTAGCACCTGCATGTAGCCCTCCATCACCTGGGAAACCTCTACCTGTCTCTGTGGTAACAAGAGAACTGATTTATATTAATCAACATCACTTAATCATTAAATCCATTTATGTTCAACCACTAAGCTTCAAATACTATTTTGGAAGAAATCACTACTAAACAGTACTATTTGCCATCTTAGCTACTTTAAATCAAGTTTTTTTTTTTAAGATATGTGGACTACATGAAGTACAGGTCATGAACACCAAGATCATTGCACCTCATATTTATACTTATGTATCATGTGAACCATACAGGTCAAGGTCATCCTCCCCGATCTGGTTTGGCACCATGCATCATTTAGACAGTGCAAGTCAAGGTCACCCCTTACTTGATCAGGTATAACTTTATGTATCACATGGTCTACCAGGTCAAGGTCACCTTACCTAATCTGATATAACATTGTGTATCACATGACCTACCAAGTCAAGGTCACCTTACCTGATCTGATATAACTTTGAGTATCTACCAGGTCAAGGACATTTTATATGATCTGATGTGACATTGCCTATCACATGACCTACCAGGTCAAGGTCACCTTACCTGATCTGGTATGGCACCGTGTATCATATGAACCATACAGATGATAGACTTGAGGACTAGCTCCTTCAGAGTGAGCAATTCCTGTCGCTGTTCGTTTGTTGGACCCTGTTTCTTGTCAAAAACCAGCATCTTGAGCAGGACATCCAGGGTAGCAGGAGTGATCACTTTTAATGCATTTGACTGCAAAACAAATAAACTTGTAAATATCTTGCTTGTGTGAATTCTCTATTGCCATTAAACAAAATGAACACATCAATTTTATTTTCATGGGAATCATCACCTATTTTGGACTCAACAAGTCACACAATGTGTTCCTTTTGAAATGTGAAAATTGTAGAAAGATGGCTCCAGTATTTTTTGCTTATTAGATTGAACATGTAAGGGTCAAAGTCTGCAATAACTATTTGTAAACCACTTAATCCTTCAAATCAGCCTCAAACTAAAACAATGTCATGCACAACTAAGGACAAACACAATGTACATGTAGATGATCACAGAAACAGTCATTCAGTGCATCTTGAGAAAGTATAACTTTGATCAATCTTTAACCATCAGTATTCCAGACAGCCAATCACCAGTCATCCCTGGTCTCCAATCTGTCTCATGATTAAATTACTACAGCAGCACAACATGAAGGAATCTATATATGACATTTCAAAATGGGAGATACCTTGTGTAATTTTTCTGAGAAATAGTCATAACAAACTTTAACTGTCAAATTCAGATATGGTCTGGTCATTCTCAGAGTTGGCGATGCACAGTTAGGGACAAAGAGTAACCTAACTATCAAACATGGTAATGATTCCTCTAGAAATTTCTGTGTTCAAGCAATTAATTTTACCTATCAAAATCCAAGATGGCTGCCAGTCAGGGTTTTACAATGTATTAGGTATGTACTGTATGTAATTTCCTTCACACATACAAACATGTGAGAGATTACCCAATGCAGAGCCAGCAATAGATAAAACATTCTGGATAAAGAAATTATCTGATTGCAATTATTAATATTATCATTTTTCCCAATTATGGCACTGACATTGTACTTTTATTTCATTGCTTTAAATATTGGATATTGAATTGAATGACCCCAAATATGTATGTATGCAACTTACCTGGTCTCCACACATTATGGCCCCGAACATGTGAAGCTGTCTGAGTTTCAGGTCTGTACTGAAATTTCCACGTTCACAACAATCTACAAAGATAAATCATGAATCATCCAAAAATTCCTGGATTTGTTTTACTAAGAATTGAAACTGTGATAAACCAGAGTGACTAATGAATGCACCCTGAAAATAATTTTATTACGTTAAAAACTTTATCAAAGGGCAATAATTCTGAAATGAAGGAGTTGCAGGCCCTGAATTTAGTACAATGAACATCTCCTAAGCATGAATAATGCACACACGATGTTTCCTTATACTAGATTAAAAGCAAGCAAAGTTATGCTCTGGACATGAAAATTTCAACAAAAGGGCAATAACTCTGCAATTAAGGTGTTGTGGACCCCAAATTTGGTACACACGAAGAAACATGATCGTTGCTTAACTGTGGGCAAAGTTATGGTCCAGACATTGAAGCAATAAACAGGACAACGCAGCAACTATATGTTCACTCGAAACTTTTTTAGGGGAAACACATCAAGATAAACTTGCAAATCAATTACAACATATTTATTTCTACATCACATTAGGAAATTTCCTCAGTTTTTTTTCTCTTTTTTTGTATATGTTTTCCAAACATGTAACAACTGTGGTCTGTTAATGGTGGTTGGGACAGTGAGAACCACACTGGTGTAAAAATAATATAAATAAGTTGTAAAAATCAAACTATTTAGACACTATGGCCTGGATAGAGAATCTAACATCACTCAGACCTAGTTACACCAATGTAGGGTATAATGATAAAATGTTACCGTAGAAATATGGGACAACTTCAACATGAAGAGAGGCTGGTCTACACTTGATTCTACTTCTGTCTACAGTCCACCTACAAAGAAAAACTTAGCGTTGTTGGATTGCTTAATAAACAAAAACACAGACACAATGTAAGACCTATATAGTAATCCGCAGGATATCTTTGACTGCATGATGAACACAAGTTCCAAAAATTTCAGCAGAAGGTCCCATGATCAGCAGAGAAAAATTTTAATTAAGCTTATTTAATAAATTTATTGACATAAATAGGTTTATTACATTTTCAATTTTGAATTTAATGTTGATTGGTCCACAGGCGATAACATGTTATTCCATTTAACATCAAACTGCACTCTGTATAACAGTAATAAAACATCATACTGCATGCTTGTGCAAGTGTTCTGTGATGTTATATCGTGTCAGGCAATCAGATTTGTCCCTCAGTTTCCACAAGAATGCAATATGTTTTATCAAAGACAAAGTATTCATGATACTGTGGTAAATATTAGGTGTTAAGATAGTATTATGTGTTCTGGTTTTGATAATGATATGTAAAAGTTCTGGTTCTTTCTTTCACCTGATATGAATTATTGAGTTAAGATAATTAGTATCAGTCTCAGTTGATTATCTGAACTCCATTAATTATCACATCAACTACACAGTGTCATAATTGTATAATATGTAAACTACAATATACTTGCTAGATGATTTAAGATTAAATCAGCTGGGTTTGATTTTTTCTTTCTCTGATTCTAAATATTTCCTTATATACTGATGGCTATAGACAGGTAATTACAAGACAGGTTATGCATAATTCAAAAATGTGACATACTCTCTAATCCGACGACGCCACACAAAGTATGGATCGTAGAGGCACTCAAAGAAATGGACAGTAAGTCTCACAAAGGTAGACAACTCTTCCTTCTCTTCTGGCGGTAAGTCTGATGACATCTGTAAAACAGAACATGCTCTAATGTTAAAAAATCCCTAGTTTTGATCATAATAATATGAATGATTTTTAAAAATTCCAATAAAATTGAATAATAAAACCATTTCCGGATTAATGAAAAGACACTGAAATGAAATTAAATGAAAATTTAATGAAAAAAATTACAATTTGAATTAAAATGTGTATGGATTTTCTTTAATATTACCAGTTAACACCTGAGAGCTATCATGATATTTTAATGGACAACAAAATACTACTGTTTCCAGTGAAACTGATAAATGCCTCCAAAAAAATAACTTTATTGGACACAAAATTTTAAGAGATGTTAATAATTCTGTAATGAAGGAGTTGCAGGCCCTAATTTTGGTATACTGTACATTGTCTAAGTATGACCAATATATACACCAAGTTATATGATCCTAGATTTAATGGAAGCAAAGTTATACTCTGGATAAGATATTTTTAACAAAGACAATAACACTGTAATTTTGGGGTCAAGGGTCCTGAATTTGGTACACAGCATATTGTCTTAGTATGATTAATATATCCATCAAGTTTCATTGTCTTAGTTTGAATGTAAGCAATTTAATATTGAGCTCTAGACACAAATTTTAAACAAGGAACATCAACTCTGTAATTAAGGGGTTATGGACCCTGAATTTGGTACATTGAATATTGTCTTCGTATGATCAATGTATACACCAAGTTTCATTACCCTAGTCTAAATGCAAGCAAAGTTACGTATCAGACACAAAACAAAGGGTAGTAACTCCATAATTTAGGGTTGAGGTTCCTGTTTTTGGTACATTGTCATCCCCTTAGTATACACCAAGTTTCATTATCCTTGCTTGACTTGCCAAGTTATACCTTGGACAAGAAAGGACAGACAGACCGAAAGATGGACGGACAGATAGACAAGGCAATGACTATATCCTCCCCTCGAAATTAATTTGGGACCATAAAAAAATATGTATGATTGCCACAAGATAACTTAATAAATAAATATCATCTAAGATTGTTTTCCCAAAATATCACAAAATTATTAACAATAGAGTACTTAAATAAATGACAGGCTTGTAACAAATATAATATCAATACAAGACATTTGTAGGTCATTGACATGATAAGAGATTTCTAAATTTCAATTTTGAAATTCAGAAGTTAAAAACAAGATTATACAAAATGATGACATTTTCTGAACAATAATAAGGGAGTGCCCAATACTTTGTCATTTCAAAATTGATGAAATTTGAAATTTCTAGGTGACCAAGTATATATGATGCTATATCAGTTGTTTTCTTCCAATGGTTAAAACTTTAACAGTTTTAACCAAAGCTTGATGCCAAAGGAATGTCTTTTTCACAGATCTAACAAAATGAACTATCATATTCTTTATAAAATTAACCAATCTCTGAAGTGGTGAAAAAATGGGATTCTCTTGGAAACAATTAAAGTTTATAGTTTGACCAGACAAAGCCACACATCAATGATAAAACTGACTAACTGATAGATAGACTGATAGACAAGTGGATTTATATTGTAAACAAAACAGAGCAATGTTAGTAGGGATGAAATGATTTATCATCACTGTTAGATATTTATGATACACAATACATCATTTACCAGGAAGTATAGTGACTTAAAAATAATGGTGGACATATCAACCCCCAGCCCCCTAACCCAGGGTTTTCCATAATTTTGTTAGTAGTAGGCTGTGTAGTGAAAGTAGGAGGCTGGCCTGCGGTGTACGTGTAGTCGTGTACGGAACATTATTACGGAACTGGATTGGTGTAGGTGGCCAAATGATCAAAGTAGCTGGTCAAATTGGCCAGCGACCAGCTCTTATGGAAAGCCCTGCTAACCCCTGCCCCACCTCCATTGTCAGGAATAATTTGTCGTATTTGCTTTTCTCTAAAACAAATAATTAAGAACGGATGACATCTTTCTACCTGTTTCCAGGATGATGGTTATAAGTAAGTAATACTGATATCTTGTTCTGATACATCGCTGAATTGTAGCTGACTTTTGATATTCCTTTTTTAACGTCAAGAATGTTGGTTTGGAAACAATCAAATCAAAAGGTATGTATTGTGATGTACACCATACCTGAGATAAACTGCATTGTTACAGCCCTTGTAGCAGGACAGAATACACAACATGTCATCCTCTGTTTCTACTCATTGATCAATCTACATGCGAGTCCAGAGTGCAGTAGACATTGAATTTTCATGTTTCTGATTCTGCTATATTTACTTCTGGATATACAAAACATTATATGCTTACTTGTTCAATAATGGTCATCCCGATGTTTACAATATACTTCACAAAACCACAGGAGGCAACCATAGGCACATTGTCACAATTTCTGGAAATAAGGCAGGAAAATAGAGTTACAAAATATCACTGGTCAGTGGTCTTCCCCTACCAAACCATACACATTACATAAAATATCACTGGTCCGTGGTCTTCCCCTACCAAACCATACACATTACATAAAATATCACTGGTCCGTGGTCTTCCCCTACCAAACCATACACATTACATAAAATGTCACTGGTCCGTGGTCTTCCCCTACCAAACCATACACATTACATAAAATATCACTGGTCCGTGGTCTTCCCCTACCAAACCATACACATTACATAAAATGTCACTGGTCCGTGGTCTTCCCCTACCAAACCATACACATTACATAAAATATCACTGGTCCGTGGTCTTCCCCTACCAAACCATACACATTACATAAAATATCACTGGTCTATGGTCTTCCCCTACCAAATCATACACATTAAATAAAATGTCACTGATTCAAATACATGTATTGGGGCAAATTCTACTCTAATCCAACAATATCAACAACATCAAAGTCCTGTACTTTTACCTAAATATCCCTTTTTCCTTCTCCTAAATTGGAACATATTCTTCCCATACCGTAACATACACATATTAATGGCCCTTACCTAAATATAACAATATCTTTTTTTCCCTCTCCTTTGGAACTCCTTTAGAAAATACTCTTCCCACACCCAACATACACATACCAATGGCCCTTACCTAAATATTGGCATAAATTATTTCATCACTGACCAGAACAATGAATACCTATACCTCAGAAAAACTCTCAAACACATTCAGTCAAATCTTAAATGATAGTTCCCACTTACACTAATTCTGATGATTTCTTTCACTTTCCATTAAAAATATGTGGTGATTGGCATTTTTCTAGATTATGTTTACATGTATCAGATATATTTCATGTAGTATATCATTAACTTTTAAGTAAGTACCACATCGATTGGGTAACATAAAATATTTAGTTTTCATCTCAACTTTCGATTTTGAAATAATTACCTGCATATGACAATAAGGCACTGTAAAATCGACTTGGCAAGTGTGAGGTGTGACGGATCTTTCTGTTGAGCATAGATCTCACTCGCCTGTGATAGGTGGTTTCGAAATACCTGAAGGATGCCATCAGGGAGTCTGGTCATATGGGGTCCTTCATCTGAAAACCTGTTGCAATGAAATCAACAACAATTAACACCTTCTAATTAGAGACTCCTATAACACTGGAACACGATCAATGTAGTAATCACAGATTATTTCTATTTGCGATGATTTCTTATTACAATTTTTTTTCTGGAATATTTTCTTCAGGTTGGTGATGTCAATAGAATAGAAGTTCATGGTGTACATAGAATTATACTGCAGCCAAAAAAGTTGGTTGATTTGGTACAATCTCATACACTATGTATGTCAGTGCAAGTGTACTCCACACTGGTCATTTATCTGACGAAAGTGACCGTGTAGTCATCAAAACGTCATACTCTAATATTCTACTGGTTGTGTTATAAGATGAAGGTGACCATGAAGTCATTGAAACGTCACTCTCTAATCTTCTACTGATTGTGTTATAACATGAAGGTGACTGTGTAGTCCTTAAAGTGTCACACTCTAATCTCCTACTGGTTGTGTTATAAGATAAATGTGACTGTGTAGTCATCAAAACCCCACACTCTAATCTTCTACTGGTTGTGTTATAAGATGAAGGTGACAGTGTAGTCATCAAAACCCCACACTCTAATCTTCTACTTGTTGTATTATAAGATGAAGGTGACAGTGTAGTCATCAAAACCCCACACTCTAATCTTCTACTTGTTGTATTATAAGATGAAGGTGGCAGTGTAGTCATCAAAACCCCACACTCTAATCTTCTACTTGTTGTATTATAAGATGAAGGTGACCGTGTAGTCATCAAAACCCCACACTCTAATCTTCTACTTGTTGTATTATAAGATGAAGGTGACAGTGTAGTCATCAAAACCCCACACTCTAATCTTCTACTTGTTGTATTATAAGATGAAGGTGGCTGTGTAGTCATCAAAACCCCACACTCTAATCTTCTACTTGTTGTATTATAAGATGAAGGTGGCAGTGTAGTCATCAAAACCCCACACTCTAATCTTCTACTTGTTGTATTATAAGATGAAGGTGGCAGTGTAGTCATCAAAACCCCACACTCTAATCTTCTACTTGTTGTATTATAAGATGAAGGTGGCAGTGTAGTCATCAAAACCCCACACTCTAATCTTCTACTTGTTGTATTATAAGATGAAGGTGACAGTGTAGTCATCAAAACCCCACACTCTAATCTTCTACTTGTTGTATTATAAGATGAAGGTGGCTGTGTAGTCATCAAAACCCCACACTCTAATCTTCTACTTGTTGTATTATAAGATGAAGGTGGCAGTGTAGTCATCAAAACCCCACACTCTAATCTTCTACTTGTTGTATTATAAGATGAAGGTGGCAGTGTAGTCATCAAAACCCCACACTCTAATCTTCTACTTGTTGTATTATAAGATGAAGGTGGCAGTGTAGTCATCAAAACCCCACACTCTAATCTTCTACTTGTTGTATTATAAGATGAAGGTGGCAGTGTAGTCATCAAAACCCCACACTCTAATCTTCTACTTGTTGTATTATAAGATGAAGGTGACAGTGTAGTCATCAAAACCCCACACTCTAATCTTCTACTTGTTGTATTATAAGATGAAGGTGACAGTGTAGTCATCAAAACCCCACACTCTAATCTTCTACTTGTTGTATTATAAGATGAAGGTGGCTGTGTAGTCATCAAAACCCCACACTCTAATCTTCTACTTGTTGTATTATAAGATGAAGGTGGCAGTGTAGTCATCAAAACCCCACACTCTAATCTTCTACTTGTTGTATTATAAGATGAAGGTGGCAGTGTAGTCATCAAAACCCCACACTCTAATCTTCTACTTGTTGTATTATAAGATGAAGGTGGCAGTGTAGTCATCAAAACCCCACACTCTAATCTTCTACTTGTTGTATTATAAGATGAAGGTGGCAGTGTAGTCATCAAAACCCCACACTCTAATCTTCTACTTGTTGTATTATAAGATGAAGGTGGCAGTGTAGTCATCAAAACCCCACACTCTAATCTTCTACTTGTTGTATTATAAGATGAAGGTGGCAGTGTAGTCATCAAAACCCCACACTCTAATCTTCTACTTGTTGTATTATAAGATGAAGGTGGCTATGTTGTCATTAAAATGCCATGCTCTTATCTTCTACTGGTTGTGTTAACTTCTATTCTATTGGGGTTTTTTTATCATGGTTTTAGTAAATAACAACCTCTTGGAAAACAAAGAAATCACTACAAATTGTAGACACAATAAATATATTTACACATTACACAATATGATGATACTTTCAATATAATGAATACATAAAATCAATTTAGAAAACAGATTATCTATATAAGTTGATTAATATAAACTTACACTTCGTTGAGGTGGTCAAAATCATAGTCAATCAAGTTCTTGTAAGTTTTGATGAAAATAGCCAAAAACTCCTTAAGGGTTTCAATGTCATTCTGAAATAAAAATGGTAAAATATAACTTCAAAATTCAACATGCATCTTGATGAAAATTGAAATTATAAAAAAAAAAAAAACTCAAAGTCTAGGCCACGTATCCCTTGTGTCTAAAATGATGGAAAGAAAACAATATCATACACATTTAACAGCAATTATATACATGTACTAACACTTAAGTATAAACTTTCCAAGAATCTAAAAACTTTATATTTTACTATCAATTATCATGACTTTGAGTATGATTTGGAATAAAGCTGATGAACCTTAAGGAGGTTATATATACAACAACCATAACAACAAACTTTTTCAAGGCATATTTAAAAAAACTACTACATTCATATATATGTATTTTAAGCCTATTTCCATGGTAACAGATAAATTATTCTACACAGAAATCATACAGAAAGGTAGCTTATGATATGTGGCAGTGTAATTATAGTTACACTGCATTGTTTCAATGAGTATTGTTGGCAATGCACTGTTTGCATTTTGTTTCATTATGTTTCCAAGGTTACAAGAAAAGAAAAAAGAAAAGAACACGAAAGCTCTGTCATATGAAAATGCACTGTGGTGAGTGCATGCTTGGCAAGTGTACAATGTTTCAAGTAGTCTGATCTCCATCATCAGTGAACAGACTGTAATGTAAAATTTTGCTGATCTGGCCATTCACTTGGGTTTCATTAAGTAATCAATTATGACAACTTCCCCCCAGAGGAAGTACTTTACTAGTTACGAGTGCTCTGACAAGTACACAAAACAAATCACATTCAATAGATACATATGCACAATGTATTTGTTACAATAACAGGCCCAAGGATCTTAATAGCCATCTGATAACTATTCAACATTTTACATTGGTAATAGACGTTGTGGTAGTAGTAGAACAGTCAGTTCAAAATATTCCAGCAGTCAGTGTTAAAAACAATCTTTAATTCAGCCTCTCAACATTCAAAAAACAATTATCCCCAATGGCATCATTGGAACTAGGTAAGAAATCTAATGTTTGTTTTCAAGATGGCAGCCATTTTGAATTTTGGATCCTGAAAAATAACAAGATTTTGTTGGGGCCATCTCTGGATTATTTCAGGCAAGTTTCAGCTAAACCTAACAGGTGATGTAACTTCAGAATAATAGATTGTGCTCAAGGTTTTTAAGATTATGCAATCAAATTACGAAATAGCCACTATGGCTGCCATATGGAACTTTGGACTGGGCTGAAAAAAAACATTTGATGGCTTAATTTTCTTATCACCTCCAACAACTTTTAGCTCAAATAAATCAAACAGGTGGAACTTCGGAAGAACTTTAAAATAAGTCTTGTTCAGGAAAACCAAGATTGTGTTATTATATTAGAAATGGCTAGTGTGACTGTCATATTAAACTTTCAAGAAAAAATAACAGCACTTTATCGGGTTCCCTTCGCTAATATTCCCAACCAACTTTTAGCTCAATGGCACCAGTAAAACTTGAGTGGAAGGTTAAAATGTGTTTTACAAAAGTGCAGTCATGACAGCAGGATTTGATTTTCCGACCCACCTTAAAAGTAACATACTGTCAAGACCATCTCAGGATCATTTCAGGCAAGTTTCACTCCAACTTGCGAAGAAGTTTAAAAAACCTCAATAGTTTATGCACACAGCATGCAACAACAAATAAACATGATGGTTACAGGTCATCCTGACCCTTCCGATCAAGTGACCTAATAAGTATTCTCAGCTATGTAGAGTTCTTTATTTAGAGCTGTCCAGGAAAAATGCATTGAATTCTCAATAGCTTTATATAACATGTCTAGTGTAGGAAAACCAAAACATTTCTGTTTCCAATCCCTCCAAAACTTACTGACAGTACAACCAATGAAGCTTTCTCTAAATTTATCTAGAAATGTGCAATATATTGATGTACATCCAGTAAGCATAATGACCTAATTCAAAGACTTCAAACAAGTAACAGACGTAGCTGGCCACACTCCCATGTTTACAAGCATCAATATTTGACTAAGTTGAATAAATGATAATGGTGACCTTGACCTTCGAACTCTGAAACAAGATTTGTTCTGATGTACGATCACTGATAAGAAGTGAAGGAGTTTGGTAATACTAGATTCAGGATGAGGGGATACCTGGACTCAACAGGCCAAACCAGACAAAGAATAAAACTAAACACATAAAATGAAGGAAGCATAGAAAAATTGGTTAGTAACCAAGTACTTTAACTCAAGAAAAAACATAAAACAAAACTTTCTCTAAAGGTCGATTTTACACCATACAACTTGTCATAGACACTGTGATATTGTGTCCTTATAAAAGTTATATTAATTTTCAAATTACTCTCTAAACAAAATGTCATCCATTAAGCTATACCAACTTAAATCGCTAGACACACAGCTTTATGGATGGTAATATTAGCAGATCTACTACTTTCCAACTATTGAATTAACATTAATGATATTAAAAAATTGTACTTTTTTGAAGTTTTGCATTATAAATTCATTAAAAATATATATACACATTTGTAAACAGAAACCTAGTCATCAGTCAAGGTATAGATACTTAAGATATTAATAGAGATTATTGATTGCATTTCAACCCTGTATGCAAGGTTCCCTCCCCTCCATGAGTTCACCTGTTGCATGTCCACCTGTGACAAATATGGAATCCCATATACATGCACATGTGACACAGTGCTGCATTTGAAATTTGTATTTATTACATTATATCAGCCAAGTAGCATTATTAAATTATCTCTTTGATTATAACTGATGAAACCAACATGAAAAAAATGTATAAAAATCTTAAGTGTTTTCTGCTCAATGTATACAGTTATTTGACTTGTTTAAGAACATACCTATATTTTCAGGTAGGTAAACAACATTTATTGATGATAAACAATCTAAGAAATAAATAAACAATTGGTGTTTATTGATGATAAATGTTAGTCGATCAGGGCTCTCACACCCCATTTTGGGACTGGGGCCCGGGGCCCTTAGAATTGGGAAAAATAGCTGTGTTTTCCTTAGAATTGGGAAAACTTGGGGTCTAAATTGGAAAAAAAAATATACTATTTTGCATTGAGAATGGGGCCGAATATCGGCCCGAAATCTGGCAGATCGAGAGCCCTGTCGATAAATTGAAATTTTGATTCAAATCATGCCAACTACCGATAGCTATGCAAATATCAACAAGGGCGAAGTTTTCAAATAGGTCCATTGTCCTTAGTAAAATTCTTCACTGAACAGATACTAAAACTAATGTTGTTCTCTTATTCAATGTGTTGTAATCTTAATCATGATTTGCTATGTTTGATCATGATCACAGTTTGATTAATGCATGGATAATTTTGAGTAATGTTGATTATTAACAAATCAAAAACCTGATTAAATAATGATTTTATATATATATCAAAAGTTAATCTTACCATTGCATTCAAATAATGTTTTAAACAACGCTGATATTTAGGATTTTTTTACCCTTTCTATTGAACACTGATATACCAGGTAGTATATAGATATATCTATTTCAGTTTTAATCGTCATATGCTTGAGAAAAGTGCTGGTGGATGATTTGTTTTGGAGATTTTCTCAACTCTACTTGTAAAATCATTCACAACTCTATATTGTAATATACCAGTAATATGCCTGAGAAATGGAACTATGTAAATTATTACCGTGCTATAGACTTAAGTTTCAAAGGTGTTTTATGACCTGTTAAACAGCACAGAAAACTTTTTAGCTAAAGGCCTTTTCAACTTTGGTTGTTACAGTTTAGAACCTTCAACCATATTTCAACTACAAACTCATTTCTTTTTAAAAGCAAAGCTAGTGGATAGTCCTCTCTTCAACCTCTGTAATTAAAACAGAAACTATCGTACATCAATTTGGGGAATGTGATGAAGTGCAATATCTAATTCAAAGTCTAGACACCTTGATGGAATCTTAATTCGTACCTTTTGCATTAAATAAACAAACATTACTTTTTGGCAAAATCAATAATAACAACAATCCAATATATAAAGCAGAGCAATATAGTTATATAACAAGATGTCTACGCAAGTCGCTAAATATTAATGCATTACTCAATGCCACCTATGACCATTATAAAGTTCAGAAATATATCACTAGTACTTAAAGGCAGATGAAAAAAGAACAATTTATATACAAATGGAAGAAGTAGGAAATATTAAAACAAATTATGGACTGATATATACTATTTATATAAAATTATCTGTGTTTTGATACTGCATGTTTCTCATTACAATCATATTATAATAATTCCTAGTGTCTGACGATATAGTCACGTGTTTCTTTTCCTAATGACCTCATCTACTATCTATTTCTCTTCCTCCTATTTCCAATATTTTCGAAACCCCTTCCAAATACATTAGCAAAAACATCAAGCTCTTATTTCTTATTAAGATACCAGATCTGAATTCTTTCTTTCTTTTTGTTTTCATCTTTCATAATGTATGGGTGTAGGAGTGGGTGTGAAAGGGTGTGCTTGTGATAATTCTGATGTATTTTATATTGATGATTGCATTCATTTATGATATTAATAATGATGATACATTAATTTATCTTAGTGTGGTTATGGAATGTATGAGTCTGTGTCTTGTCTAATATACATGTTGATGTAAAAATCTTGCTAGAAAAATTTGTTAAAAAAAGCATGCTATTTTTCAACATGTGACATATAGGTCATAATTTCAGAGTTATATGTACAGGCAGAGAACACTTATGCACACATATTTCGTTCTGATTAAGGTAATTTAGGTAATAATTATAGTATTAAAAAACGAGTCAAATTAGCTACCTGGTTCCGCCTACCTCCACGTTAGAAAGAACAAATAACATAAATCTGTGATAGACTTGTCTCAACAGATAGAGAACGTTCTCAATTTTGTTTAATTCGTGTTCGATCATTTTCATTAACTACTAGTTATATCGGATCAGCCTTTGAACAATCATGTTTTGACCGCTAGTGACCGGAAATTCATAATCCGATCTCCCTTTTTGCTACACGAAAACTTTACAAACTTGAGTATGAAATGTTAATGCCTAGACCCTGAGTCATCCGTGCTTCCATTCGACAAGACTCAATGACAAATAAGAAATGCTATAAATACTAAGTTACTCATTTCATCAATTCGATCGAGACTTCAGAAGGTGTGGTTTTGATGCAGCTGCTGAAAAATTACAAGGACTGTCAAAAATTTGATGGATCTGATTCAAGGAAAGAATTCCAATAAACTCACCTTGGCAGAGTAAATCATCCAGAGCTGGAAGAGATTTTCTGATGTAGGTAATTCTTCCATTACTGCATCCGGATGTGCCACAAATTAAAACAACTTTTCAAGTGTCAAGTCATTTTCTTTCCAAATTTGTGCTCACAGGTGAATATGACGGCCATGACTGTAAGGTCTATTTCTATACTAATGTTACAAGTAATGCGATTGGTCAACTATTGATCAGCACATAACAACCTTATTTTCATTGGTTAGCTATGCACATCTAAAAGTAGCTCATGGTCACAGCTGGGGATTCCCTTCCGCCTTGATTTCCCGCGGGATTTCAAAAGCGCTTACATTTGGTTTCTAAGACCGTGATAATGCAATACTGTGAATTCATATTTTGTGTAAAACATGTTGCACTGCTTTGATTCGCTCCAAAAAAGGAGATTTTAAATTTGTTTTCTATCAACAGTTCAGGTTACACATGTAAAAGTACAATATTGGGCAAACTGACTCGAGGATCTCAGACATCTTTAAATAATACGTAAGTTATATATAGATCTCTGAACAAATTCTTTATTCGTGTAATAGTATTACCGTTTTCTGCTGCTGGCAAACAGAAGGACATAATTTCTTTAAATACGAATTCATTAAACTCGTAGTACATTTTACTTCTCACTAAGATTTATGACTTACATTCATAAATAGCAGTTAGTCAATTCTGAGTTTATATCTTGTTTACAAAATTATAGAAAAATGAGAGTAATACAGAAGAAATGAAAAATAAATCCGTTCTAACTGTAAGAGATTTTAGATGATTCATTGCGGGGACAAACTGTTTACATATATAATCAGAGACATATACGTTTCTGATAATGTATATGATCACGTTCGGCACTGTGGAAACAAAACCCTTTAAATTACTGTTCTATCAAACTGTTCAGTTTGCATCTTATTGATCTACATATGTCTAACCATATACTTAGTTGTACCCTTATTTATACCCCTACAATTCATCACCAGAGAGGGAGTTTTGGGAGTGGGATGTAAGTTGTCATAGTCGCATGCTCATCAGGAGAGTAATCTCCCCTTGAGCAGCATTGACGAATTACTGTATGAAAATGAGGCGTGCAGAAAAAGGGCAAATATTATTTATCTAAAGTAAATATACCGACACAATCGGACGATATGTGTCTCGTTAGTACGAATTTTCAAAGTTTTCAAAAAATGGTAAGTTATGTGAAAACTATATCTGGAGGTGTCGGTTTAAGGATTCTTCCACTATTGGTGTGATTGCACTGTCTCTGATCAATGCACTTTTCATAACGTGCAAAAGATCTACCTTTATAAATATGGGTTTTTTTTATTATGAAATAAAACATGTAGAATATTACTGAATTGTAAAGAAATTCACTGGACAGAATTATCAGAGCATGTTGTGAATTAAAAACTGATATTATGTCTCTCCTTAGGTCTGGTGTTCGCCCTAGTGCCCTCAACCCTGTAATAGTTGCTAGATTAATCAAAATTAAAGTATATCCATCTGCTTTATTTGGGTGCGAACATTGGTTTCTTTCTAAAACTGAAGTTATGATTTTATAGAGAGCACAAACTTTTAGAGTAAAATCCATTCAAGGTTTTGGTTAAAAAACTAGAACTTACATGTGTGTTTCATTGCTTGGCTGGACTAGCATTGAATCCTATATCAACATCAAGATATGATTGTTTCTAGGACAAATTTGTAATATAGATTGTAAAATGTTAGTATACAGAATATCTATCACTAGATTTTATATGTCTGATATAACACTGAAAAACAACAGGGATTTATATCCGACATTATAGTGTATCTTGAGGAAGTACTCATTGTATTATAATGTTGATGACTGTATGATGTTAACGTCATTTCCAGGAAAACTTTAATGGAAAAAGCCTGTTTGTAAAAGTGTATATAGCACAGAGGAAATGCATGGTTATAGCGTATGTCAAATGATAACGATTTTTTTTTTCAAATTTATTTGTATCCATCTTAAGCTTTAAACACATCACTTATGGAAATAAGCAATAAAGCATCCTCAATATTATATATATACAGTGTATTTAAAAAAGATGTGTAAGTTCTCGTATCTTTAACAATTAGGAACTGTGTCACTACTGTAGTATGTTGTACAATGATTATACAACATAATATTTGTCATTGTGGAAAAATACTGATATTCGAGATGAATTAACGTGTCAATTAATTGATAAGTTTGACATCAAGTTCATGGTGTGGTTGAACCAGTTGTCAGCCTTTGACTTAACGAATACTTTGTTGGGTGTACTTTAAGTATGAAATGTGGAATGAAGATATGAAATATTTCAGACTTTCTGTATCAACTGTTTGAAACTCATGAACTACGCTATTATGAATAGTTACTTAAGGTTAATTTACATGTAGAATTGCTATGTATATTTATATGACTCTTGCTTGATTGTATTTTGGTTGTATTTATTCTATTCATGTTATCTTCGATCTTGCAGGAAATAAAGAGAATAATGATATGCAATAGCCATATATTTGATAGTAATTATAATGACAATCTCTTTTGATTTAAACATATTTTATTGCATAAATTGTATATACAAATGGATTGGGCACAAGTTTACAAACTTATATAAAGCCCGTTCCAAGATAAATAACAGACACATATAAATGCAAAAGATGACCTATTCGAAATTTACAAGATACAATTATATATACAGAGAGAGAGAGAGAGAGACAGAGAGAGAGAGGGGGGGGGGAGAAAGAGAGAGAGGGGGGAGAAAGAGAGAGAGAGAGAGAGTACATCTACAAATGTAGTGAAAAAGGAACAATAGCGATATGGTCTAACCCAACCCAGGTGACAATCACATTCTTTATACTATTCCACTCTTCCTAGCGTTCAACTTGTCAATGTCTATCAAAAACCGTGCCACCGATGTCCTTCTCCTTGGTCCATGCTGATCCTTCTGGAAATAACATATCTCAACCGATTGTCACCCGAGTTGGGAAGGAACGATTATAATTTACTATAGAGTATAATTTAAAACCGGTTTGTATTTATAATAAATCTTTGGGTGGATTGGCATATAGTTTCGTTTTCCTGGTTAGTCAGCTCGGAGTTTCCAAATAATAGAAGGTGGAGGTCTAGTGGAATGAAATCATTAAGCTCACGATAAAGTTGTAGGCGTTGGTAGGCATAATTATTACATACAAAAAAGAAGTGATGAGCATCTTCGATATAGTGCCCACATTGACAGTGTTTATAATTAATTAAGTTAGCATGAAACAAGTCATTATTTAAAGTACTGGATCTGTTACGTAATCTGGCATGCAGGATGTTAGTTTTTCTATCACCAATAAGAAAATAGGGCGGAATTCGAATGTCTGTGTTTTTACGGAGAGAGTGTTTAAAGACCGAATATGTTTCACTTTGTCGGATATCGTGATCTAACTGATTCCAAAGATGAATAGTAGAGGGAAAGAAAGAAGATTTTGTGAGTTGTAGACGGTAGTTTGGTATGGAGTAATTATTGGCATTTCGAAGGTTATAGGGTGAATTTTCTGAGACTAAGGGGGGAAGAAGAGTGGATAAATAATCAGGTGTTAAGTTATTTTTGATTTTATAAAAAAGCTGCAATTTCCTTCTAGAGCGTCTAAAGCAAAGTGGTTCTAACCCACATTCAGAATATAAGGAATCTCTGCTCGTATAAGATGGTAACCCCGTAATCACACGAGCAGCCTCTAATTGAAGTTTTTCTAATTTGTCTGCGTCACCGAGAGTACATCCATCCCATACCTCACAGCAATATTCTAATAGTGGAATAATATAAGAATTATATATTCTATACAATGTTTGTCTACCTAGAATAAATTTAAGTTTTCGCAAGATACTAATCTGCTTAGATACTTTTTTACAAATGTCCTCAATATGACTTGTCCATTTACAATTCTGGTCAAATGTTACCCCCAAATGCTTATGATTATCTACAAAATTCACACTAACATTATCAAATTTTATATCTATCGCGTAGTCTAATTCGGAATTATGGATAAGTAATGCTTCTGTTTTAGTTGGATTAAACTTTACTAGCCACTTTCTCGCCCAATTTTGAATTTGTTCTAAATCATCATTTATTACAGTTTCAACGTTGTAAGGGGATGGGTTCGAGTATAATAAAGAAGTGTCATCGGCAAATAATTTTGAGAAACTCTGAAGATTATCGGTTAAATCATTAATATATAAAATAAATAATAGGGGACCAAGTACTGAGCCTTGTGGAACACCCGCATTAGAAGATTTAATAGAGGATTTAGAGTTACCCACGCAAACTTGCTGTTTTCTTTCACTTATATAATTAACAAGCCAATTTAAAAGTTTACCCCGAATACCATAATTTGCTAGTTTCACTTCCAGACCCCTGTGCCACACACGATCAAACGCTTTCGATATATCGCAAAAAACTAAACATGTAGGTTGCATTTTTTCTAGATTTTCGCATAAAGTATGATAAATTTCGATAAGTTGATGTACTGTCGAGTGACCAGGTTGAAAACCAGATTGGAACTTGTATATCAGTGAATTTTCTAGTAAATAGTTATTAAGGTATTTTACAACTAATCTTTCAAAAACTTTACCAACAGTGCTTAATAATGAAATTGGCCTGTAATTAGCAAAATTGTGTTTGTCCCCTTTTTTGAATAATGGTATCACTAATGCATGTTTCCACATTTTAGGAAAAACCCCAGTTTCCAGAGAGGATCTAAAGATGAGAGATAGTGGGAAAGCTACTGATACTGCTGTATTTTTTAACATATTATGACTGATTGTGTCTATACCAACAGCTTTATTCACATTTAAAGATTTAAGTATGTCAATTACGTCCCTCAATTCAAAATGTATATCTGATATTGTCGAGTCTGTCCGTAATTCTACCGTCGGAGATTCTATATTAATGTCGTCTATAGTAGAAATGGAAACAAAGTAATCATTTAAAATATTAGCTTTGCCATCATCGGTCATTTCAATGTTGCCATGAGTATTTCTAATAGGGGGTATAAT